TTTTAAATTACTTGTGCTTTAGATTATGGTGCTTCTCTAAACATATGGTATTTTATAAGCAGGAAAAAATCATTTTTAAAGTCTTGTGAGTAGAAATATAGACAAATGGCATATTTCCCTTTAATAGTTGTGGATAGATGGCATGTAGCAGAAATATTCGTTAGACCAACAAATATGTATAGTCAGTAAATACTATTCGTTCTCTTATAAAAGATTCGTACATTGATAGCTTATTAATCAAACACTACATGGGTACCCTAGCCAGACATATATACTTGCACAACTAGGGCATAAAAATGTCAGCTAGGATTTTGTTTGAACTTAAGGAGAAGTATTTTTGTTCCCTAAACAATAGCATCGAGAAGGGGAGAAACAGGCATTCTTGTTCTTCTTGGCTATTTGGTCCAATGACCCCCCACAACTCCCCCCACCATGGTTAGACTCTGCTTGAGTTTGAGTTTGTGCTTTCTGCTTCTACTGCTTGGTTTTTAAGGGCAATTTAAAAGATCCTGCAGGTTCGTATCTGGAGAACATAGATCTTGCATTCAGCCTGCCAGATGATACGCTGTGGTCTTTGGGTGGAAATCTTAGTGGCTTATTTATACTCTCATGTGCCTTCTTTTAAAAGAAAGAAAGAAAACATAATTTTTTTTCCAGCTTATACTTCCCAGGATTTCTATATCTCAAAGATTATTTTAGAAATATATATTATTCTGCATTCTTAAGTCACCTGCTGACTCACAGCCGGGAGGTGCATCTCTTGGGACAAGACAAGAGGCGGGAATTTTCTTTTTTAACCGTAATGCTACAGGATTTTGTGACCTGGAAAATCCTGTCCATGTTTCCATCTCAAATATCAGCCTTCAAGCAAGTGTCATTTGCGTTCCTGTAAAATGAATCCCCAGGACCGGCAGTGCTGGAAAGGGTAGAATCTTTAAAATGCGGGGATTGGGGAAATGACTCACTCTCCGGGGTTGGTTTAAAAGGCCCCGTGGGGGGTCTCCCAGAGTGACCCCCGCTCGGGACGCCACGTGGCGCAGGTGAGCCGGGACGCGGGGACCCCCTCCGCCCGCCGCCCGCGCGCGCGCGCGGCTGACCCACAGCCTCAGTTTCCCCCGCTGTCTCCGCGGGCGGGGGCGGCCGGGCCGGCGGGGACCCGGGGGAAGGGTCCGCACGCGGCAGGCCGGGCCGGCGGGGAGGCGCCCGGCTGGGAGGTCCCGCGGCCTCCGGGGCGCGACCCTCTAATCCGCTTTAGTCACTATATTGTGCGCTTTGCTTGGGCAGAGTAAACAGGGCGGGCCCACCAAGCGGCGGCTGCCGGCCCGCGACTCCCTGACCCCGGGGTCGCGCCCTTTGTTCGCCCTCAATGGGGCCGCCCCGCCGCCCGCCCGCGGCTAATTGGGGCGCGTGCCGCCGCCGCCGCGGACCCCGGCCCAGCCTCGGACCCGGAGTCTGACAGGGACTCCCACCGCGGACCCTACGACCCCAGCGCGGATCCGGACCCCGGCTCGGACTCGGACCCCGGACCGGGACCCCTGCTTGGACCCCGATCCTTGCCTGGCTGCAGACTCGGCCCCGGCCCCCGAATCAGGCTCAGACTCCAGGACCCCCGGCCACGTGGACCCAGCCACAGGCTCCGCTCCCCACCCGTTGTGGACTCCAGGCTCCAGACCTGATGCCACCCGGCCCGGCCGGGCCCTGGCCCTGCCTCGGCCTCACCCGCGCTGGGAGCCGGAGGGGCTGCCTGGAGGAGGCGCGCGAGGCCTCCCGGCCTCCAGAGCCGGTGCGGACCCAAGTCGAGTCCCCGGACCCGCCTGGACCAGACTAGCCTCGGCCCCGCCGCCCGGCCCGGTCGCGGATGCGCTGGTCCGAGGACGGACCCCAGGCGGCCACCGCGCTGCGTGGGCGCCTGTCACCCGGGGGAAGGGGGGACCGCGACGACACTGCTGCCCGCGTCCCAGGCCGGGAGCCCGGCTGGAGGCGCCTCTCTGCAGGGCCCTTAGGGACCGCGAGCCGCCGGCGGAGGTGCAGAGGAGAGGCCGCTGTGCCTTGATTTCCTTTCTGTGCTCTGTGGGAATCCTGCAGATCGGAAAGCAAAGGTGCTGCAGGAAAGCAGAGTCCCCTGAGAGGGAAGCAGGAACCTTCAAACCCTTCTGCACTGGGATTTTGCCTCCGACCCCTCCCAGCCCTTCTTTTTCCCCCAAATCACTACCTTTCCAGAGTCTGGGGGCAGTTCCGGGTGAGACCCGTCAGGCCCGACGTGATGAAGGCCGTTGACACTAAACTCAGCCTTGATCATCGTCCTCTGCGTTCTTTGTTTTTTCCTCAAATGTTGGACAAGGTTATAATTTTTATCCCAAGCAGCTTTTGAGACTTAGCTCCTCGTAACTTCTTTTTTTTTTTTTTTTTAAGTTTTTTGTCTGGTTTTTTGTTTGTTTGTTTGTTTGTTTTTTTAAAGCACCGTGTTCTTATAATTAGGTGCAAAAAGGAAGCAAGAGAAAGGAGTCTTGAGAGACTTTGCCTTTGAAAATGAACAGGGTGGCTTCAAGTTCTTGGCCAAGCCAGGCAGGCCCTCTGGCCCGTGCCTCATTTATTTCATGGTTTTTGTTCACCTGGCTTTGCCAGGGAGACTTTTTAAAACGTTAGGTTTGTTTCGGAGCTTGTTGTTTGTGGGGCGGTGGAATATTCTGATGTGGAATTTGGCTCTAACAGAAGGCGGTGTTCTGGAGTTTAGGGTCGTGCCTTGCTGCCCTGAGGATGAGCCGGGGTGTGTACCGTGAGCCGGGGGGAGGCAGGTGCTTTGGGTATTTCTCGGGGTGGTGCAGATCTCTGCTGGAAAGGGAAACCCTGGGGAGACGGGCCCTGCTAGCATCACCTTCGCTAAGACCATTTCCTAGATAACCGGTTTCCCTCTTTCCTTATCCCTTTCTCATTGTCACGTCCCCTCCCCCCACTACTGCAGCATCACCTGCCCTTTCTCGTTTCTGAGGATCAATAGCTATCTGATCAGACTGCACTTGCCCCTGCAGAATGCTGATTTCCAGGTCCAGGACCTTGGCCGCCCCTCCAGGAGAGAACTGCTACCGTGAGCCTCTCCCCAGGGAGCCGGTCATTAGGGATCCTTGCTGACTCGAGACTCTGAGGTTATCCCAGGTCTTCCTTGTCACCTGTTTGGCCTTTTATATTGAGACCATGGGCAGGGGCCTGGCAGGTTCGCAGAGGGCTGAAAGTCGGGGAAGACTCAGGTGGGACCTCGGCGCTTCCGTGGCTGCTTGGCTGGCGAGCCCCTTGTTGCAGGGTGTTGGGACCCCAACAGAAAGGGCGGTGGACAGAGGGCATCGTGACCCCTCAGCTCTGGCGAGGCGGCTTTGTTGCGAGACTCTGGCAGGCCCAGCGCGGGGAGCTCAAGTCTGTGATTTCACACCGGAGGTTGATTCGTCCAGCACAGCTTTGAGGGGGTGACCAGGATGCACCTGGCAGGGAAGGGTGGACGCCTCAGATGGCCAGAGCTGGCTGCGGGAGTAGGGGATCGCCAAAGCTGGCCGGCTCAAGGCGGTTCTGGGACCCAGATTTCAATGGAGGGCTGTTTTTCTTGGGAACTGTTCTTACCTTTAAATAAGCCTATGTGTGCATGAGTGCAAAGGGGTGGGTGGTGATGTTTTCCATAAAAAAAAAAAAAAAAAAAAGCAAAAATAATAAAGTGGTGTGTGTGTGTGCAGGGGTTCGGGGATCCCAGGCCTCTGCAATATTGTGCCCAAGTCACTGTTGCAGCCACCTGGGCCTCAGTTGCTCTGGTCTTGAAGGAGGTCTGACAGTTCTGGTTCTGTCTTCCACTCGGGTTGCGAGGATCACATGAGATGGGGCTCAGAACACGCCGCATAGATGACAAAACGCTTGTTCTCCACCCACATGAGATGCCATCCTTGTTCCCTTAGGGAAAACCTTCACGGAGTCGTTGCCTTCTGAAAATGTTCAGTGGCACCTGGCACTGACTAAATTCTTGGTATCGAAACCTCCTGCAAAGGTACAAGCAGGGTGCGGGCTGAGCATGGTGAGAATTTGGACAAGAGACAGCATTCTCGTGCCCTCAAGCCCTTGATCGTGATAACAAGATGGCTACCAATTTGGGGGACCTGGATTTGATGCTTTGGAGACCCTCCTCCTCCTGGCATGTACGCCCAGAGCCTGGAATGTGTATCCCAGGGTCCAAGGCTCTGTCTGCCACCTTGCCCAGCCTGGCTTCGGTAGGGGATCTGCGGGGCCCAAACCCCAGCCCGGTCCACAAAATTTGACCTCCTCTCCTGAGGGATCAGGCTCACCCAGCTTCCAGAGCTGCAGGGTCGAAAGCAACCCCCTCCCCAGCCCCTGGGCCCTAGCCTCACTCCCCAAAGCTGGCCTTGCCACTTCGGTCCTAACGACGCCGAATGAGGTCAGCTTGGTTTGCCATTCACAAAACACAATTTTTTTTTAAATTTTTTTATTGCAGGGAAAGCTTTTCTATGTCTGAGGTAGGTCCTTGTTATCTACAGCAGGTTATGTTTTCACTGACTTTTGGTGTTTGCACATGTGTCATGAAAAAGGGAGTGACCCCAAAAGAATACAGGTCGGGCCTGCCCTTCTTCTGGGCTCGGGGCTCACCCCCAGGACCTCAAGTCGGCCCCAAACCATAAGGGCAGTAAAACTTGTGTTTCTATACACACACATACATGCAGACACACAAACATACATGGGAGTGCATGCACACACACGCAGGCACACACACATACACACAAATCCTAGGATATTATCCTCATGTTGCCAGCATTTTAATGTTCTGATATTCAAGTTTGAGGCACCAACAGGCTGTCTTGAAAGGCTCATTCAGCCTGTCTGCCTTGGAGCTATTTTATTTATAAGTCTTCTTGTCACGTCAAAGAACTCTGTGTTTCTTGTAGGCTGTGTTCGGGTGGTTGAGTGTTTTGGTTTTTGGCTACAGCTGGTTAATTTTTCCGAATCTGTAGATCCAGGTGTGAGTTGAGAAGTTTTTTCCCAAGCACAAGAAGTTTCCCAGTGAGCCTCGGGGTCCTCCTCGAAGTTTCCGGCGTTCTGTGTGTGAGAGCCTGCCAATATCAGAGAAGCTGTGAGTGAGGGAAGAAGGAGCTGGTGGCGCCCGCATCCCCTGTCTTCTCTCAGACACTGAGACTGGGAAGGACTTTGGAAGCAGGAGCTTGTAGCCTGTTTAGAATATAGAGCTGAAAAACTGGTCAATGGCTAAGATATTAGCAAAAGCACAAATCCTTGATGAGAGTTAAAAATTCTTGTTTCTGAGCATCGTTGAAAGCCAAGCACAGGAGTGAAAATGCCTGTCCACGTCTCTCATTATTTTCGAATACATCTAAAAAATGTGCGTTCATCATGTAAAAATTATATAGACTCTTACTTTCAAGATTAATGTCGCCTATTGTCTGATTGTTTACATGACCACTTTCTTTTGGTTAAAAAAAAAATGAACTTCAAGTTCCTTTAAAATTAGGAATTACATCAAAAGTTGCTCTATAAATAGCAAGAAACAAAACAGAACACAAGCATTGGCTTTCTTTATTAGCATTTTTTTTTTGCAGCCATTAAAAATTATCTTGTCTTGCAGTGATAAATTTAGGTGAGACATTTTTTCACTTTCTGTAGAAAGGGCATATATGAAAAATCCAACTTTAACCTTGTCTTTCTGTTAACTGGCTCTAAAAGGTATGATATTTACACGCAGTCGGGAAAATGAAAGTGTCATTATGCATAAAGCAAAGTACTTACTTGTGTTGTGTGAAATCATGTTAGATTTTAAAAAAATAAAATGGGAGTATCTCAATAAATAAGACCACTGTGGTCAAATTTCAAACAATTTGTAATTGACACTCCCACCCCCCCGCAAAAGTCCCTCATTCTATATGGGTTCATTTGGCAGGCAGTTTAGGTTTTGTTGCAATCATTTTAAAGAAGTCATCTGTGAAATCTTGGTTTTTTAAAAAAGTTCCTGCTGTCCCTTACAATTTAGCACTGAACCATATGAGTTCTAAATCAGGGTTTATTCCCTTTCTGTTTTTTCTTTATTCTAGAGGGCTTATAATTTACCTAGCTGACTGAAGGGCTGAGAAATGATACTAAAATTCCCATTTCATCTGTGGAGAAGAAAAAATTTCAACTGACTTACATTAGCATTTCGGCGTTATTTAAATTTCTAAAAAATAAACATGTAACAGTTTTTAAAGTTTAAAATTGCTTTAAATTCTTAATAGCTAAATTCTGCTTAGATATAATTCAAAAAGAATAATGACTATTTCAGGCCCCTATAAAGGATTGATAAGATACAAAAAAATTCTTCACAAAAAAATCAGAGGCTTTTCAACTATGAAAGGAAGGCATTCCTTGAAAATTGAGGGAGTGAAACTCTTCAGATTTTCTGATGTCTTTTAATTCTTGTGGAAACTGGTACCTCCTTCTACCAGAAGCTGTTAAAGTCCAAATTCTAATATATCTTTAACTGCTAAAAAAAAATTGCTATGAGCCATACAATAGATTCTTCAGAGAAGTGTTAATTTCCCAATTTATGACGATTCCATTTTAGAAATTGCAGAACTGAACAACCTGAATAAATAAATTCAGCACCCACATCTTTTTGAAAGGTAGTATTGATTTTTTAAAAATTTAGTTTGTCCTGTGCTTTTTCTCATTCCTTATATGAAGCCAAGAATGTAGCTTTGGCATTTGATATATGCATATATAACCAGGGATATTGGCCGTTCATCTTTAATTCATATTTTCTGATTTGTGTTGTTACTAGTTTGGAATGAAAAATATTCATTGTCATTCCTCATCTGTAAGGGAAAATTTTTCATACTAACATGTATGTGTGATATACAGTATAGTCACGTATTTATATACACGATCAAACACATTAATTTAGACTTCTGGTTGTTTAAAGCTCCCCTATTAATTGAAAAATATTAATTAACTCCTTAAAGAATGCTCTCAGGGCTGATAGACTTTTTTTTTTGACACATATGCACAGGTAACATCATGGAAAGTGAACGTGTGGACGTCCAAAATGTGTTAAATATGATAAAACAGCTGCTCACAGAAGGTTTCTAACCAGACAGGTGATTGCATGGGTGTGGAGCTCCACCCGGCATGCAACGGATCGCTGTCAGCTGCGGGCACAAGTCTGTTCTTTGTGTGTATATATATATTATATATATATACACAATATATATATTTACATATTTTTTTAAAAGAAAGAAGATATAGAAATGCTCTCCCAGCATGCTTTTTTCTTTTTTTTGCAGGGGGAGGCTTGGCTAGTAATGCAGTACCCTGCCCTGTGCTCTGTTCCTCACATATGCTTGTCCCATGGCCAGAGTTTCATTTCTGTTGCTAGTTAACTCAAAAACTGAGTCAACTAAAGCAGAAGATTTTGAAAAGCGCTTCATTATGTGTGGAAGGAAAGAATCCTTTCTGCGGGTGCTTGCTCGCTTTTCCTTAACCAGCCTGAGACCCTATAAACTGTTTAGCTGCTCTGAAGGCTTCTGTCCGCTCTCCTCAACTCTCTCCATAACAAAAAGAAAATGCTTACCCAAGGTAAACTGATACTAATTGATAGGTTTTGGGGTAAACAATTGAGAGTAAAAATGAAGCCTTTATGAAGTAGGAGTACAAGTTATTACGAAACAGAGGTACCAAAATGGAATCCCAAACCTACAAACTACTTGGAGACAAAGGCAAAAAGAAACAAAAAAATCATAAGCCTGCTCTGCCTTTCCACACGGTACCCAGAGCTCCTTAGAGGCTGTTCCAAAGGACACGTTGTCTGGGATGACTGAAGAAGTGGTATCCTACCCACGAGCCGCCACAAACTGGCCATCTCCGGTTTACCGGGCTAGTCTCAAAAGCATGAGAGTCTTGGGTAGGCAAGTCGAACATCCAAAACCCCAGTGAAAGTGTAAGTTTTCACTCGCACTCATCCAGCTTGCTTTAATTCGATTAAATGCATCTGTTTACTAAGTCCTTGTAATGTCTTGGATACCGAGGAAAATTTTAAACTATTAAAACGTCGCTAGGTTAAGAAAAGGGAAACTACACTCTCAAGTGCCCCATCCTTGTGAGGCTGGGCTTCGGCCGAAGGCTGAGCCGGGGCATAGCAGGAAGTGGCCGGCCGCATTCCCATTAGGCAAATCTTGGGAGAAATCAGGAAAAAATAACTGTATAAGGCTGATACTATAAACATCCTGGTATAGCGAGAGCCTCCCTAGGACTTATTTTTCAAATATCTGACCACGGGCATGGTGCGGCCCACAGGCAGAGACCAAGTTCTTCCTCTAGGAAAACTGTCCATCAGCGTCTTCCTCAACAAAGTCAATTCCCAGGCTTCCGTTTTGCTAATGGGAGCACGCTTTTTAATATTATTTACTTTGAATAATATAATGTGATAGCGAGTTGGAAAGAGACTTTCAAAACCTGAAACCTGAAAAATACCCAGTAGAATTACCTGAGCGCTATTATTTTCTTTGCATAAAGCAGGGTTTGATTTTTGAGTCTGCAACCAAATTATATGTAAATCCTTGCCAAGTAGAGAGAGGATAAAAAAGAGTGTGCGTTCTCAAATATTATTCTGACTCACCCAATTTCTTGTTTTACCAAATAAAAACTGGGAGGAGGAAAGAGGCATTAAATTAACTTATTACTGTGTGTGAAAGCCAGAAAAAAAAAAATCAGCGAATAAAAAGGTTAGCAAGCCGCTATGATTATACAATGATTTCAGGTGAAAATTACAAAGCTAATATCCTGGTATTTAGTCACTGCCTTCAGTAATGATACAGTTGCCAAGTTTGTATTTGTGCCAATGGAACAAAAGTTGTAAGTGGCATAATGGAAGATAATCTCTTTTTCTTTGTGGCTTTTTTAATTCAGTGTTTTAATCCACCCATTTAATCACACAACATATATCACATTAGTTATAATATTTATAGTGTTTAGGAAAGTTATTATAAATAGATTACAGTGTGGTTGTGGGGTGTATTGGTTGTAGTATTTGTGTGTGTGTGTGTGAACACATCTCAGAGGTATGAAGCAGTTCTAGAGTTTGCACTTGGGAGTGGTTTTACATGAGAATAGTAACCAGATATTTATTTTCAAAATCCCCGTTTGGTTGTTACCAGGCTTGCTCATTATTTTGGAAAAACAAGATTTGGTATCAAAGGGGCCTGATACTTACAGCGTTTAGATCTCTGCCTTCAACCCAGTCTGCGAAGCATTTCTGTTGTTTTAGAGTCCCCAGCGTTGCTAAACCACAAAATGTCTTTAATATGTTTTTTATAAAGTAGTTGAACCATACAGTAAAGATGGGGAAAGGGGGAATTTATAATGGCAGTTAGCGGTTGGGTTCTTCCTTGGCGTGGCCGGAGCGGAGGGGGGGGGGGTGTGATAGCAGGATCTGTGTGGCTTTGGGGGACTGCCCTGCACATAATCATCTCGTGGGAATGTGTCCTCTTACTCCACACGTCCTAGTCAGGGCTGGGAACTGTAATAGTGAAGGAAATTATAAAGGACAAGAGAGATTGTTTTTCTCTGCCGTATTGCTAGAACGTGGGTCCGGCATTCCTGAGTCTCAGGCTGTCCTTTTCGGAGTCCTTTTCGGAGGAAGGAGGAGTACAGAATTCCTGGGCTTCCCAAGCTGGACCCCATAGTCCTGGAAGCTGGGAGGGCCACCCTGGACCTTCCTCAGGGAAAGAGTGAAACCCACCCCCTTGAGAAATCACCCCTGCTTGGGCTCTCTCGGCTTGGTGTCAGCAGCCGTGGAAAGTGAAAGTTGGTCAGGATTTCGGTGAAAAGATTAACCAGAAAACATTTCTACTCCACTTTCTAAAACTGAATTTTCTCATGGGGGCGGGTGGGGGGGAGCTATCCCTAGCAAGAAGGGGCCACAACAAGATTCTAACACGTAGGGAAGTAATTTTGGAAGGTTTCTTAATGGATCCTGTTTTTACCCCCCCTCCCCAAATCGTATGTCATACGGTGGTGGCAGTGATGTGTGTGTGTGTGTCTAGCACAATTCAAGGCCAAGGTCATGGGGGTCTAGGGAGCCTCCAGGGTGGGTCAGTGGGCAAGAGAGGCCCTGGCCGAGCTGCTCCAGCTGCCCCAGCCCAGCCTCGCCCCGTGGCCAGTGCCCCTGCCTGGGCCATCCAACCCAAGGTGGAATGAAGTTTCCTGGGAAGCAGGGCACACGAGGAACTTTTGAATTTACCAATGGCATAAAAAGTATATATATTTTTATGACAACGGGCAAGTTTCAATTGGTTGACAGAAATGGCGAGATGTGACGTCAAGGGACACTGGTTAGAATGCCAAGGCCGGCTGGGGGGGGGGGGCGGGGAGACAGGCACAGAGAGACACTGGGATGGGGCCCAGGAGGCCTTCTTTCTCTCGGGCCCCTGTCGCGGGCATCCGGGGACAACCAGGTCCATCTGGCTCCGAGAGAGGGCATGCCCAGGCAGGGGGATGGGGTCCGAGCACAGCGACCCCGTGTCGGCGTCCCCAAGCGCCAGAAACCACTCAGGCGCTCCTGCGGAGCAGGCAGAAAAAGCAGCTGCGGCCTTCTTGTCACTCTAACCAGTGTCCGGGCCCTGGAGCCCGGCTGGTCGCGACCGCGGGAGAGGGCGCGGGAAGGAACCGCGCGGCCCGTGTGCAGCAGTGTCGTCGTCCGGCTCCAAGATAGCAAAGCTGCGGCCTAGAACTTCTCCCCGCAGCTCCTGCGCCCTGGGCCGGGGGAGCAGGAAGTTGTTTCTGCGGGGAAGGAAGAGAGCGAGGTTGGAGCCGGGCAGCGGCTCCGGGCACGGTGCCCCCGCCCATCCCATGCCTCCCCGGGCACCGTGAGGGCCCCCCTCCACCAGACACCTTGCGCCCCCCCATCTCTGGGCACAGTGCGCTGCCCCCCTCCACTTCACAGGATCCTCTGAACCCCGCCTCCCACACCACTGGGCACCGCGGCCCTCCCGCAGCCGGGCGGGCGGTGTTGGGACGAGCCGCCGCGGGGTCCTCCTGGTGCGCGCCCTGCCCCGGGGGAAGCCCGCTGCCACCGTCGACCCCAACCCCTGACCCGGAGCCTCGTCTAGAACTCCACGGCGAACACTAGCCTCGCTGGGATGAGCCCGGAGACCTGGCCGCACTCCGCGGCTCGCACGGGGCTGCGTTCAGGCCAGGGACCGTGGGTTCGCCCCGGGTCCCCAAGCCGGGCCCGAGCGTGCGCGCGCGCGCCCCGCTGCCCGCAATCATGGCAGCCGGCGCCTCGGAGCGCAGCCGCCGAGCGCGCTCCGGCAGCCGCCTCGGTGCCAGGGCGGCGGGGGCGGGCCGCGGCCGGGGCGTGCGGGCCGCCGGGCGCGAAGCAGAAGGCTGATGAGTCCCCGCGGCACGGTGCCCCCTACCCCGCGGCGGCAGGCGGCCGGGACCGCGCGGGCGGGGAGCCCCCGGGGCGACGTGCCCGCGGGGGCGCGCACGCGGGGCTGCGGGCCCAGGCGCGGGGCCCGGGCGGCGAATCCGCTGCTCGCGCCGCCCGCCCCGCCCGCGCGCGCCGGCCCCGGGAGGAGGGTGCGCGGCGGAGGGTGGGTTGGTGGGGGGGCGGCGGGGAGGGGCCGCGCCCGGTCCTCACCCGCAGCGGGCACGGCCGGGGGCCCCGGGCGGCCTTGTTGGTATTCCGGGCACAGCCGAAGCCCTGACCTCCCCGCGGAACAGGGGCGCCCGGGAGCGCGTCACGGCCGCTGCCCCCGGGCGGTCTCCTCGGGCTGCGGGGCCGTAGGCGCCTTGCTTCCCCGTCCCCTCCTCTCCAGGTCCCCCGTACCCCCTCCCCCGCCCTGATCCGGCGGCGAAGGGGTGGGCAGGGAAACGCGCTCTCTGGGACAGGTGCCAACTCCGAGACAAAAGACATAAAATAGGCGGCAACGGGGGAAGCGCGGCCGGCGCGCTCGGGCGGGGACGGAGGCGCCGCGGGGGCCGCATCCTCGGTGCCGACCCGGGAAAGTTTGGGAAGTCGCCGCGGCGGCTTCGCAGCGGCGGGGGACACACGGGCCGGGCCGCCCTCCGCGCCGCGCTCGCCCTCTCCGCGCCGCTGCTGAATAATTCATGGCGCGGCCGCCGGCCATTAGCATGCACCGGGCGCGCGGCGCGTCTGTGCCCAGCCGCCGCCGCCGCATTCGGCGCCCCGGCCGCACTAGACGAGCGGCCGCGCGGAGGCCGGGCCCGCGTTGCCCCCGCGCTCGCCCGCCGGTCCGCCGGCCCGGCGGCTTTCATTGTGCCCCGGGCCCGCGCCGCCCGGCCGTCCGGTGACCGTCCGCACCCCGCAGCGCGCCCGACGGCCAGTCGCTGGAAGTTCGGGCCCGCGGAGCCCGGCCGGCAGCCCCGGGATGCACGTGAACTTGGAGAAAGTCGCGGGGCGCGCCGGCGCGGACCTCCGCTGCAGGGCGTGGGCGTCCCCGGCCCCGCGCGCTTTCGTTTTCGTCCGGGACAAAGGTCCCTCGCGGCGCAGGTCGCGGACGTGGAGATCGTGTCCTGCGGGCCACTCTGCGGGGAGGTCCGGTCGTTCAACACAGGGAAGCCGGAGCCAGGAGAAGTGGAGCAGCGCGGTCCGAGGCGCGGCGCGGGACCAGGGGAGTGGGGCCTGGCCGTGCGCTTCGCCCGCGCCGTCCCGGAGCTGTCGCGCCCCTGCCACGAGTTGTGGGACATGGCACCGCTTTGCTCTCTGCCCTTTTCGCCGCGTAAAGGAGAGAATCACTTGGAACCCACGACTCAGACCGATGGCCGAGGGCCTGTGCAGCCGTGGGCACGATAGCGCAGCGCCGGCTGCGTCCGGGCGCGTCCCTCCGGCAAGGGCAGAGCGCCCCTGTCTCGATTGGGTTCACTCTCGATTCTTGAGGCCGGTAAGTGCATTTCTCACTTTCGCTACTTAGTGAATATTTAAATATTAATGAAGGGATTTCTAAGAAGAGCCCTTCTGTAGGGCAGGCCTTCCACAGACCAGGGGACCCGGGAAGGAGGTCGTTCTTGAACCTGAAGCCGCACCAGCTTGCAAGAACTCCATGGCCGTCATTAAAATTCTGGAACTTGGAATTTGTGAAATACAGCTTCCGATCTCAGGTGTGTGCCGGCCATTTGCCAGAGAGAATTTTGTTGAACACATAAAATACCGTTAGCAGGCATCTTACGTAGAATAGAAGGAAAAGAGAACACATCTGTTTTTAGATTAGATGTGTTCGGAAAGGTTAATTGGAAGCTACAGTCCAGCAGTGCTTCTTATTTTTTTCTGCTGGTCAGGCATTTATGAAGAGCTGGTTTAGGGCGGCCCTCGGTCAACCACTGGCCGATTGGGCCGGTGGAGTGAAAGCCCTGTGCGTGGAAGCTGCTGTTTATGGTGGCATAAAACGAAAAACAACTCATAACTTTTCATAATAAATCCCCCTTTATAGGTGGGTCACATACGGGCCCAGCCGGCAGCCCTGGGGAATTTGTGGGGAGCAAGAAAGGGGGTGGAGGAATGCACATTGGCCGTAATTACAGGGTTTTAAGGTAACACTGAAATTAATTTCTTCAGAGTTGGGCTTCAGAGGCCAAGGCAGCCTCTGCAGGCCAGCACTATGTTCATTTTATTTTAGTTTGTCGGTTCTAGCTATTTGGGATTTTCAAATGCTTGTTTGTACTTGCGTGTACCTATCCTGTTAAAATGAAACCTGTAACGGGGGGGGATTAACCCGGTTTTTGCTATGATCATATCGCAGGTGTGATTTCCCCTCTACTCTCCCCCATCTTGTTGATGTGGTTTGGACAACCTTGCTGGGTGCCTTGACCACAAAATAATGGGGAGGGGGGCCTGCTTCCCTAACACCCGGGAGTGTGAGCTGGCACTCGGAGGCTGTGTTTCCGGGAACGTGGACAGAGGCCTGAGTAGCCCAGGCCTGCCTCATGCCTCCCTCTCCCCGGGCTGCCTGGTTTTCAGGTCTGAGGGGAGAACCCAGAGGGACAAGGAGACCCCTTCAATAAGGTCTTGCCCACCTGGCGCCGAGGCTGAAAGTTTGCTTCGTACTGTAGAGCTGTCCTCGCCATCTTCTTTTGCTAGGCCATCCTCTGCTCCCTCGGTCCCCTGTTTTACATTTGTATTTATGACTTTATCAGAGGCAGTTAGCAGACATGAAACCCGGGGGTGGGACATTGGGGAGTGATCTCAGAAACCGGGGCGCAGCTGCGGAAGGCATGCCAGTTCGGCCGCGAGCTGCTGCTTGCCGTGGCATTGGCGGTGACGGGTTAGTAATTACGGAAAGCCCAGCTTCTGTCGGGGCCTTGCCTGTAAAATGCGGGAGACGTTTTCTCAGGTCCACAGATGACCCGTAACGTAGCACACGATGGGCAGGGATGGTGTGGCGTTCTGCTCAGACTGTCGGGAATCCCCCAGGATTAAAACAGACCCCGAAACAAGGGGCATGGGTTGCTCCCTCTCCGCGGGCCTACGGGCCATACGCTGGGAGCTGGGCAAGGCCTGAGCATCCGAGGGCCACTCAGTGGGGGGTTGCTGTTCGTCACAGCTCCAGAGGTCCATCGCCTGCCCCGTGTGTGCCCCGGGCAAAGGGAATGTGATGGGGCTGAGAGTCCACTGCCAACATCGGGGCCTGCCCCGCAGACGGAGGCCCTGCCTCGGCACCAAGCCATCCTGTCCTGCCGTTGTCCTGTCCTTAGAGCCAGCCCAGTTCCACTGGAGACTCCCAGTGGAGACCCGGGTCCCGCCAGGGGCTTCTTACTACGTAGGGATGTCTCACCCGGATAAAAATGTATTTTTGAGGACGAGGACGCAAGACGAGGTTCGGAAAATGAAACTGGCGCCTGTCTGGTTTTTATCACTCTGGATTTAAGGGAAAGAATGTGCTAAGCAGGGCACAGGGTCTTGTGGACCGGGGCGGGCTGGCGGGAGGACGGCCTTCGTGTTCTTGTTTTTGTTTTCAGCCAGGGCCGGGCCCGCCGTGGCCCCTGGCCTGCACTGGGGCCTTGCCGTGCCCCGCCTCTGGCCACTTGAGGCCCCCGATTCTGGCCTGGGCGTCTCCAGGGTGTGGGTGAAGCTGGCTGCCCAGGTCTCACACGCCGCCTGAACAGGTGCAGACAACATCTTGCTTGGCTCCACGGAAACAGCAGGGAGCTTTGCGGCGGGGCTGCTTTCGGGTCCCTGTGGCCACCGTGGATGACGCCGTGCACGGGTCTCACTTGCTGCCATTCTCACCCCGGCGCGGACGAGGCCTGACCGGAAGGCAGAAGGTGGGGCCCAGGGAGGGGCCAGAGGGCTTTGCCCACCCTGACGGTCACCCTGCCCGGGTGGGTGCTCCTTGGTGTCCGGGGAAACCGACATGTACCTCAAGTGAGGGACGGCGCTCGGGAAGGGAAGGAGGCCCCAGAGGCCGGGCAGGAAAACATCTTAAAAGCATCACACCTGGCTGTTGTCGGGCTGGGAGGGTGTATCTGCATGTCTAGGGAGAACAGAGAATGCCCTTGCGGAAATCCCGTGAAGGGGGGCTGTCCTAGCTCACGTCCAGGCAGCTCCCATCCGGCCCCCACCCCGGGCTCACCATGAGACCCTGGACAAGTGGCATCACCTCCCGGGACTGCACCCCAAGCTCTAGAGCAAAAATAAGAATCCCAACCTCAGAGGGTGATTCGGAAGGTTCAGACAACATTATTTCCACAGACCACGGTTCCTGGCACGCGGCAGGGACGCCGTAAATGGCTGTTGTAATTGTTTTCATTGTAACTAGTGATCGCCACTTTTATTGCTGGTTATTATTATATTTTTGAGTTTCTAAGAAGCAGGGAACCTAGTTTTGGTTTCATTAGAAAGGACACCTGAGAGTTTACCATCGCCACCCCCCCCCCCCCCCGGTGATAGCGAAAGTGAACCTTGATCTTTTCAACATAGAGTGTCAGGAACTTGCAAAGCCAGGGCTTCCCTTACCCCAGGGACTTGGCTTAGGGACGTGCTTACGGAGGAGGTGCCCCTTCCTCGGCACCTAGGAAGTCGAGACCTCCCCAGTGATGGCACCTGAGGAACCCACCTGGGCGCTGGCCCCAGGGGGCCGACCAGGGCGAGACAAGGGCAAGACACCGTGACTCAGGGGTCCAGAGTGGCCCACCCCAGCCGCCAGCCTCCTTGCGGGCAATGCAGGTAGCAGTTGGATGGGAGGGTTTAACCACTCTGATGAGCTAATTGTTCTTTGGCCCCACACAAGCGAACGTTTACCAAAACGCTTGCTTTGGGAGAATTTTCTCTCTCAGCTGATCATCCAGGAAGACCCGGCAAGATTGCCCTTTCTCAAAACATCTTGTTGGAACAAGAAAGAACCCCAGATGGTACCAGCCATGCTTTCTGATGTTACGGAGCCGAGGAGGGAGAAAAAGCAACAATTGTCTCTGGGCAAAGACAATGGACCTTTTATATGAAATATTTATTTTCAGGGCTGACCAGTGTCCCGTTGGCTGGGCCAGTGGAGCGCCAGTGTCTGAGCATCACAGGTCCTGAGAACTGAGTCAGGGATGAGATTTACAGAAAAGGAAAAAAAGAAAGTCCCCTGACCTGTGGTTCTTGGGAAATTTCAGTGGGAATGTCTGGCTTTTTTTTTTTTTTTTTTTTTTTAATCGAGTGGAGTTTAAACTTTCACAAGTTTATTTTTTCTTCCTCTGTGATTTCTTCTGCAAGGCCACAGGGGCATGTTGGCAAGCATTGGAAAGGTAGCCAGGTCGGCCTTTGTCTGCTGGGAGATGGCAGAATGGAAGTGAGACAAACTCACTTTGTCGGAGTTTAAGAAGAGGAAGGGTCTGTCCCCAGGGGGTGGGGGGAAAGCCACCAAGAGCAATTGGGGACAATATTTGTGATTCTCTGGTGTCCTTCACTCCTCCCCGATCCTGTTCTCCGATGAACTTGGGATCTGACCTGACTTGGCGAAGCCACACATGGTCTCTCGAACACCCTTCCAGCTGGACAAGCCTGGCGGCCCAGAGTTGAGCCGGATGGACATTTTCTGAAGAAACAGAAGGAACGGGATTTTACTCTGAGGCCTTCTTAGGAGCCACCTCCATCTTCCCCGCTCTGGGGCTGCCGGTGGCGCTAGAGCTGCCGACCCTGGCTTCTGCCGACCCAAGGTCCAGCTTCAGTGCAGCCAGGAAGGCGCCCTGGGAAGCAAGGCCTGGATCCCAGGCTCACGTTAGGGACTCCGGGAGGAACTGATCAGGCTGGGGCTCGTGATGGAAACATCGGAGAATCAGTCTTCCTGGCGTTGGGAAGGCCGTGGCGGACAATCGGCTGAGACCCCCCACCAGCTTAGGGGGTCCTCAGACTGGTAGGCGGAGGACAGAAGAGGGAGTGGCCCCGATCAGGGTGGACGAAGACGGGCCCCTCCCTGTCAGGCTTCCCCTTTACCCCAAAGACTTGGTTGGCAAATTATAATATCTGGCTTCAAAAATGAGGTTTTGTTTTTTAAATCGCTGTCGCGTCTTTAAAAACACAAAAATCCTGGAACCTCTTAGCTGTGGTCTGTTTCACCTTCTGCATTAACCCCCCCCCAAAAAAAAACGCTATGAAGAGAGTTCTCTTTGGGGGTAACCGCAACAGTCTCTGAGGCCACGAGTAGAGTTGGTAAGATTGGAATGGAAAAGACTGAAATCTCCTGACATGAGGCAGAACGACCGTAAAATGCAAGCTTTTATTTACTGGGTTTTTTTGTTTGTTTGTTTGTTTTAACGGAGAGGGGTTTGAAAGTAAAATGCTGCAAAGTCTCACTGTGAAATTTTGGACGGGAAACTTGTTTCGGTCCGTATGCAGGAGTCTTGCCTTAGGGATGGCTCAGAATCCCTGTGGATGGATAAATCGGGCACCTCTGCAAACGGCCGGCCAGGCCCACTGTTGAATCAGCGGCTAAGAGGTTTTCTGAGTAGATATATGACCCCAGAGGTGATGGTTATTACTGCTGAATGAGCCTGGTAGTTGTGGTGAGAAAATGTGTGCATGGGACGTACAAAGTAAAGGCCAAATTATCTTTTTCTGTTTTTGGAGTAATAGAATTTCCCCTTAAGATGGAAAACAAGAATGTTGTCCCTGTTGCCCCGGTTTCTAAAGGCAGGGCTGGGTTTTTCTGCGAATCGCCCTTCCTTTAATTCTAGGATGTCAGATGGTTAGGAAGAGCATTTAGCTGAAATATTTACCTGCTGATTTGGGGCTCTTCAATCTAGATTCGTCTTTCATGTGTTTAAGAGCGATATTTACATTCAAATCAGCCTTTTATAATTACATTTTAAATTATAATGAAATGATGGAGCCGGGGCTTCAGTCTTCCATATGTTTTAACAGTGAGAGACGCACTGGTGGGTTGCATATCACATCACCAGCCCTGGGCTCCGAGCAGGCGTGAACAGGCACCAGACACGCAGGTGCCGGCCTGCAGGGCCACATGTGTGTCCTGAGGATGTCAGGGTCCCTGCGTGTCACCTGTGGAGCCCTCCCCGCCCCGCCAGGGGGAGAAGGGCTTGTGGATGGGGATCCTGGCCCCGGCGCTGTGGTTCGGCTGCCAAACCTCACAGCGTGCAGTGCATCCGAGAAGGGCCTGGTCTGGGCCTGGCTGCCCCTCCGCCCTGGCTGATGTCTTGCGTCCCGGACCCCACGCTGGCCCGCAGGCCTTGGGGCGGAGGCCTTTATCTCCTGGGCAGCCAGCTGGGCACAGCAGCGGCCACTTCTGGTCGTGGTGATAGTGTGTGTGGTGTGTGAGTGTGTGTGTGTGAGTGTGTGTGAGTGTGTGTGTGTGTGTGTGTGTGTGTGTGTGTGTGTGTGTGTGTGTCGGGGAGACCGGGTGAGGGAGGGTGCCCACCTCCTCCTTTCAGGGCGGCCCCCAAACGGCCCTACAGTTTTCAGTGGCTTTCCCCATGGATCATGGGGGACGCTCTCCTCCCGGGGCCAGGCTGTTGGCAGCCGTGCCAAGCCGTTCCTGGAATGGAATTCCCAGCGTTCCTGGTCGGGCGCGTGGCATCGGAATCCTACCTGCTTTGTCTCTGGCATCAGCTGGTGAGCTAGTCACGTGGCCGCGTGCGTGAGACCAGAGCCCGAAGATCAGAGGGCGCCTCCTGGCCTCTTCCTTCTCGCTCCCCCCCCACCCCCCGGCCTTGTGCTTCGGGTATGGCCATCTCTGCACAGGCATAAAGCAGTATTAAAATAAAACGTCCTCCAGGCAGCCGGGGCGCGGGGGGAGCTCCCAGCCACAGAAAGGCCCGTAAGCCGGGGAGCAACCCAGGGCCCACGAGCGAACTCTGGCCTCGGCGGCCCAGCCTCGGTCACTCCACGCGGTCCCTTCCACCCCCAGAGCTGGCCCTGCCTGCCCGGGGACCCTGCCCACACTGGCAGCCTTGTGGCTCACCCTGCACAGGGACAGCCAGGCGGTCATCGCCTCAGCTCCTGGCCACAGAAAGGGCCGATGGAGAGACCTGGGCAGGCTGGCCAAGCGGCCACGGCCCGTGCCTGCAGGAGAGGGCCGCCGGGCCCGGTAGATCTCCAAGTGAGAGTGCCTGGGTTAGAACCTCAAGCCCAGTGACCCAGGCCAGGCACGGGTCACCTTTCCTCGCTGTGGTGGAAGATTTGCCTCGGTGAAACTGGTGGATTTGTGACGGTCTGAATGGGGTGTGGTGATGGGCCTGGAGCCCGACCCTGGGCCCCTCGCCGCGGCCTGGCTGTGTGCATTTTTCATTGTGTCGTCACAGCAGCCCTGAGTGGCTGGAGCTGAGACCCCCGTCCCGTGTACTCATGGGGAAACTGAGGCCGGGAGAGGTGGCGTGGCTTGCCCGGGGTTAGGTGGCCACTTGGACCCAAGGCTGGGTTCAAGCCAGTGGTCCGGCTCTCGAGCCTGACGGCATAACCTCCCAGGGCATCGGCTAGAGTGGGCTCGCTCCAGGGGATCCCGGGGAGCACAGCCGGGGTGCTGGCTGCCGCCTGCCCCTCGGCCGGGCCCAGCGTGGGAACAATGTGGCCTCTATCCCCGGAGCAGCCCAGCCAGGCAGGCGGCTCGCAACATGGCGCCCAGGGCCGCGCCGCCTGTCCACGGGGAGGGCTGGCGCCCGGGCACGGCCCGGCTCCCGGCGTCCTCCTCAGGCCGGCCGCTGAGTGGCCAGACGCTCCTGCTGCCCCCTCCCTCTCCCGCTTGGCCAGCCGCCCCCCCCCCCCGGTGGTGGGTTTCGGGGTCCGGCCCACCCGCCTCTGCCACGTCTGCCATCCTCCCGGCACCCATGAGCATCTTTCAAAAATTCCCGGTGGGCGGGGCTGAGCCGTAGCGGCCGCCTCTGGCCCCCCCTCCCCGGGCAGCCAGTGCCAGATGAGAGCAGGAGACAAAAGTAGCATTTTCCTCGTCCTCCTGGGCTGGCAGCGGGGCCTCCCCAGCACCACTTGGCTCTGGCAGCCCTGCCTCTGTGTGCCGGGGTGGCCGAGGCCCAGGCCGCGCCGGCCAGGACCGAGGAACCGATGGACGATGGTGGCCAGAGACCAGGCGCCTGAGGGCCTGTTGGACGGGGGCTGGCACCTGGGCACGGCCTGCTGGCCAGCGGCCCCTGCCCTCCTCTGCTTGCCACGGGGACCAGCCGGCCGGGTGAGGGACACCGTTTTCACTTCCCTGCTTTTGAGAACCTCCGCATCCTGCACCTCGGGTAAGTCTCCTTCTTCCCTTCTCTCGCGCTGGAGATAAGCCGAGGGCTCTGCCATCTTGTGCTCGGTGCCTGTTACGTTTCCTTCCCTCTAATTGGTTATCCGAAATTCAAAATTCTATTTCAGACCGCCCCCAGCCCCCCACATCTTCAGTGAAGTGAGCCCTTCCAAAAACTGCAGGGAAGATGCAGCAGCCGGACCCATTTATTTTTAAGACCCAAAGCTGTAGGCTTCAGAAATCACAATAAAAATGAATGTTTGTTATTTCACAGTAGCTGCATGTTCAATTATAATTTGAACAAATGTTTCAGGAGGCATTAATAGGCACGGCCTACTCTCTCGTGCTCAGTTATGTCGGTTTTCTGGGGGGAGGTCTTATCATCATCCTCATTATTATGATTTTAATTTTTGGCGACGCCAGGAGTGGCAGAGGGAAAAACACCAGAAACATCCATGCTCCTCCCAGCAAACTCCTCGGCAGGCAGGGCCAGGCTGGCACACGGGAGGGTGGATTCTGCTTTGAGAAACAGAGGCCCTTTCATTTTGTCCGGCATCTTTAATGCTGCCATGTCCACAGTTGAGCGATCCAGTTTCTTTCTCCCTTTTATTTTATTTTATTTTTTGGGAGGGACGGGGGATAAAAGGAAGCTCTTTTCGGCTCTCAGCTTAGTGTGGGGAAAATCTTTTAGGTTGTTTTGGGCTTTGTATTTTAAGCACTTATTTAAGCCCGGGGGTTCCAGCTAACATTGCTGTGCCGGTTCCTAACCACCCTGCCCACAGACGGCTTCTGGGGTGCATGTGGGCACGTCCACCAGACCAACCCTTGGGGGCCCTGAGTGGTCCCAGGGCCTGCCTGTGCCCTGATCTCATCCTGGTTTCGCATTTGCAGAGCTGTGGCCCAAGGCATCCTGACCATCCAGGGCCTGAACCGTGGCCAGCGGGGCAGGGAGTAGAGTCCCTTGAAGACCTTTGGGTCCCTGGGCCACGCCACCACTGCCGTCTGGGAGCTGGGTTCCGTGACTGCCTGAGTTTCTCTGTTGGTCCCAGAACCTTTGCATTTAAAAGGTGGGCTTTGCAGGGTTCGGCTCGAGTTCACCTCCACCCTCTGGCAGGCTGACAAAAGCACCGCAGACACGGCCCGGTTTCCCCACGTTTGAGGGTAGCAGCCAGGGTCTTGATTTATGGAAAATGGAAAATCAGGCCCCGAAAGTTCCGAATTGCAACGAAGAGGAAAATTCCCACGTGAATACGTTTTTGTTTTCCTGATTCGGAGGCATTGGGGTCCTGTTTGTGCAGGCCTGAGCAGCTGGCTGGAGCAGACACCACCAAATATTGAGACTGAGCTCGGCGCGCACGAGGAGTATCTGCGCCTGCTTTTGTTCTTAGATTCGACAGCAGTCGATCCTGGAGGATTTGGGGCTGCAGATACAGGCGTATAGAGCAGAGATAATTAAAACATTTTCATGATTATGACAGCCACATTCTGCTGCTGCGAGCTGGAAGATCACTCCAGCCAGATATTTAGGAAGCACCAGATAAAACACTGGTGACAAAATAAAAGTAATAGAAAAAAAACTGTGATAAATTCTAAAGGCAAAAGAGGCAACAGGATAGAGAGAGGTTGGTGGGGGGGGAGGGAAGGTTCATCATTTTTAAAGAATTTATACTTTTAATAGCTGCCCACTCCTCGTTTTTAAAATTTGTATTATAATAAAATTATAGTTTTATTATAATGAATGTAGGTGAATAGGCCTTTAATCCTAAATCCTGAAATGACAGGCAGATTTCCTGAGCATTAACTCGTCTTATTTTTGGACAAGGTAGAGGCAAGCGGCGTAAAGTCAATTAATTTCCATAAATGAGCATTTTCATCCTAAATCAGTATTTTCCACCGAGATTATGTTCAATCTAATGGTTTTAATATATATGGATAACACATTCTCCAGCATACACCTTATATAGTTGAGATAGTTACATGGGATCGATTATCACCTTCGTTTTTTAACTCTGGTAATAATACTTTACCTCCCCCAAATCAGTAAAATTCCACAGAATCTTTTTTTTTTTTTTTTTTTTTAATCAGGCAAAAGTATCAGCATTCTCCATGGCACCCAGTACTTCTCAGCAGTATTTTTTTTTTTTTTTTAAGAAAGTACCACACATAGCAGTTTTCACATCATCGCTTCTATATAAATTCCACTATAGACTGAAATTATACATTCTCACAGCACAGATGGGCTGGTCTGTCATTATGACTGCCGGGTCCTTGTTGGAACACACAGCATATTTCAATTGTGGAGTCGACAATTTCGAAGAACTGAGGTCAAAATAAACAAGTTGCATTTGCGTTTAAAAGCAGTCTTATTAAATGATCTTCTGATCCCCTGAAAAATTTGGTAGCAAAACAACCATCACCTTTATTAAAGTTTAATTGAAAATTTGGTCTTCATCTGCATCTTTTTAAGACTCCAAATGCCCTATGGCAAAGGACCTTAAATGTTCAAATTAATTACCAATTTTTATCTTTTTTTACATCCTGAACAGCCTAACACTAGATTTATATTAAAAATGACAGGGTTTGGGACTTCTGATTTTAATATCTTCATAATCTCTGTAGGAAAGACATTAAACCTTTTGTTGTTCTATGTACTTTCATGCAATTATTTTGAGAAGCTTCTGAAAAATCAGATGATAAGTATCTTGCATGGTCTCAAGGTCCATTTAAGTCCAAACTGAAAAAGAAAATTCAACAGGTAAACTACAAACACTAGCTATAAACTTAAAAAAATTATCTCGCAAGATAACAATGCAGAATTTATTGGTCCATATCAACACACGTGAGGGCAGAGCAGTTTTACAGCCACTATAATTTGCAAATGATGATAACTTTATTTTGTGAATTTGCTCACGTTGGGAGGTAATCGGTTCTGAGGGTTCTTTTTCCGCCCCCGCCCTGTCTTGAAATGGTCACTTCTGCGTGTCTTAATTCTGGATTCAGGCTCCGCAGCTCTCAGCCTCCGAGGCCCTTCCTGGCCAGGAGCAGCTTCCCCAAGTGTCTGCCGTGCTGAATGAGAGAAGGGTGCTTCCCTCTGCCGTGTCCTGAATGCGCCCAACACCCTTCCAATTGTGGAACTTCCAAAGTAGAAGTGCTTTGTTGCGGCTTGTTTATTTTAAGGAATGTACCTGTTGGCGGAGATGTTGGGGAGTAATAGGAAAAGTGAAATGTTGATGAAATTTGCCAGAGCCGTTTGGGAGCTGCTCTCTGTAGCGGCTGTGCTCTCGGATTTTTTTAACCACTTCATCCTTTCTGATGTTGGTCTTTGACTCTTGTCTCTGCATCAGAAATGTGTTTATTATCAGCCCCGTGAATGTGGCACTGGTCTGGGGCTCTCAAAGATGAGGCACAGGGAAGCATCCCAGCCTTCCCGGGTCAGAGCTTCAGAGCGATGGCGTCATAGTAACGACAGTGGCGGTGGCAGTGGTAGTCATGACAATACTCCACCGTGTGCTTCGCACCATGCCAGGCTTTTTCGTGTTTGGAAAAGAAGGGTGGGTGGAGGAGAGCATGAGCTCCAGAACTCGTGGCTGGGGTTCAAGCTGAGTCATTTATAGTTGCTGGCTGTGCTGATCAAGGGTGAGCCATTTCACCCCTCTGTGCCTCAGTTTCCCCATCTGTAAAACGGGGACAGCAGGTGCCCCCACCTCACAGTCACACACATAAAGCCCTGGACGCGACACTTAGTTCATAGAGAGCAGCCCATGATCCTGTTTATCCTCGATTTATTTCTGAGTTTCAGAAATGCCCGCAAGGTGGGGGTCATCATCGCCGTTCCTCCAGGGGAGGCCCTGAGCCTTAGAGGGTCAACCGTCTGATGATGGTTGGGATGGATTCGAGCCCGGGCCTGCCGCCCTCCAAAGCCTGTGTGCCTTGTGCATTAAGTGATAGTGTGGACACGCGTGTCTACGCAGCAGCCCGATGTGGATGGCGTGCCTTTGCCAGTGTGTGTGCACCCTGACGGTACTGTAACACGTGTGCTACGCACGGCTGTCCTGTGCTCCCTGGTCCCTGGGCCACCCCGAAGATGCCTGGCCGGGCGTTCCACTGCCCACTGGATGGGCGGGTCTCCCAGCGCTGGGTGGACGGGCACCCAGGTGCGTGAAGCTGGGCCGGCTGCACTCTGGGCGTCGGCCAGTCACCCTCGTTCTCCTCAGAGAGGCAGGCCATTCCGGACGCCGGCCATTTGCAGACCCGGAGGACTGGCATCGGGCCTCCAGCCCAGGAGAGGAAATGGCGGCGGGGCAGGCCCAGGACGGGATCGGGGAAGGCGGCCGAGGGCGGGAGCGGCCGGAAGGCCTGGGGTGGGCGCGTCATCGTGCCGGCACCCTCCTCCGGCGTTAGAGCCAGCCTTCCGTGCAGGTCTGCATGTGTGTGCACGTGTGTGCACACGTGTGTGCGTGCGCCTGCGTGCCAGGCTCGGGCCCCTGAGCCGCACACCCAGGAGCCTGAGCAGGCCGTTCCCCCCACCCCAGGAACACGGCGGGGACTGGGCGGGGGGTTTGATGAGACGGCGTTAACCCCCAGCCCACCTTTGGGCAAACAAGGCCTCGATAAGGATGGTTCTTACTGCCAGGCCTTGATGTCATCTTTAAAGCGGGGCGACAGCGTCGGCCTCGGGGCGCGGTCAGACGCGGCAAGTGGGAGCCTGTCTGGAGGCCGGGTGGCTGGCCTGTTTCGTCCTTCGCTGTGGCCTCGAGGGAAGAGCCTGGAGGCCTGGGCGTCCAGGTGAGCTGCCTGCCCCTCTCGGCCTCGGTTGCCCCGCCCGTGAGGCAGAGGGTAAGTCCTACCCACAGGTTTCTCATGGAGGAAAACGACGTCACCTGCCATTGACGGGAGCAGGTTTGGGGGGCCCGGGAAGAGGGTCCTGCCTTGGGTCCCTGTGACTCTCGGGGGACTCGATGGGACGCAGGAGCCAGGCCCCCAACCCCAGAAGGGAGCCGGGGGTGGCTCCGGGGGTCCTGGCTGCTCCAGCGTGTGCGCCAGAACCTCTGGCCCAGTTTCCTGGGCGCCGGCCCCGCCCCGGCATTCCTGCGGTGGGTGTGCTCGCGCTTCCGGCCGCCGTGGGCGGAGGGATCCTGGGGGCAGGCGGCCAGTTCCCGCCGTCCCGCCCGCCAGAGCCTCCCTGTTGTGCTGCTTCCTTCAACTCGATGGGACGAGGGGTCCCACCTGAGCCCGCCGCGCCGGGTCCAGGCCAGCGGACCCCCACCGTGGCGGCCGAGGCCTCCAGCGGCTGCGTGGGGGGCTCGGGGTGTGGAGAGGGTGCCCTCCGGCCGGCGCCTTTGTCACTGCGAACGCGCAGTAGTAAGTCGCCAGCACTTCCGAGGCTCTCGGCACCGGGTGGGTGGGTGGGTGTGCCTCGAGGGTCTCAGCTTCGGGCCGGGTGCCCCTGCCCGGCCTGTGACCAATGCCAGCGGCCCGTGACCAATGCCAGCGGGAGGCCCAGGGAAACAACTTCCAGGTGGTGACTCCTGGGCCCGGCAGCGTGGCCGGCCACCACGGCCCCCAGCCTCGGCGGTGCCACGAGGGACAGGCGTGCCCTGCAGTCAGTGTCCAGTTGCCAGGGGAGGGGTGAGAGAGACCGGCTGGGGCAGGACCAGCGGGGGGACCCAAGTGGCAGAAATCCCCTGCCTTGGCCCGCTGGAGAGAGGCGGGGGCCGCACTCGTCTCCCCCATGGGAGGCCGGCCGATGTCCGATATTGCAAACAGGACTCGGCTCCCTGGGGTTGGGGGGAGCTGACCTTCGTTGACCTACTAAGTGCTAGGCCCAGGGCTGAGTACTTCTTTTTGTTTTAATTTTTTCTTCAGTTTTTGGCCACACCACGTGGCATGCGGTATCTTAGTTCCCCGACCAGGGATCGAATCTGCGCCCCCTGCAGTGGAAGCGCGGAGTCCCAACCACTGGACCGCCAGGGAAGTCCTCAGGGCCGAGTACTGTAATCACCTCTTTTTAAACATCCATTTTTAAATTTAATCTGCCCAATTCCGTTTTGTTTCAACATCCAATCAGAGCCAGCACGTGCCAGCGCTGTTCTGGTGGCGGAATAGGGCACAGACAAGGCACCCGTGTGGAAGGCGGGTGTGAACGGTTCTCTCTCTGAGAAAACCAAGGCTCAGAGAGGCCAAGGAATGTCATCAGAGTCACACAGCTAGCAGGCGACAGAGCCTGCACCCAAACCCAGGTCCGTGACTGCAAGACCCACACCCTTCCCCCCCCCGCCCCCCGCCCCGGCCGGGGAGCAGCGCGCACGGGATCCGTCTCGCAAATGCTGACCTCGGCGCGTTCTCCCCACAAAGCCGTCGCCAGGCGGACCTGCCCTTCGGCGTGGAGTTCTGCCCCAAGGGAGAGCCAGGATTTGCCTCCGTCCCTCCCCTCCTGAGGAGCCATAGACTGTGGTGGTTCTGGGGGCCCCCAGGACCCGTCTCTGCCTGGGTTGCTGTTTCTCTAGGATCTCGGGCCTGCCGGTTGGGCTGACGAAGCCCCTGGCGCCCTCCAGGCCTCTGTGCTCAGCGTGCTGGCCGGGCGTGGACAGCACGCAGCGTGGCAGCAGGCGATGGGAAGGAGGGAGCCGCGGGTCGTCCTTCCTCCCAGTGTTCCTGCGGCCCAGGGTGGGGAAGCGTACGAGGTTGTAGGCCCAGGTGACGTCAGCAGCTCTACAGAGGGTTTAACACTCAGACACCAGGAGTCAAACCTTCGGGAGGTGCTGTAGAAACCCGAAACAGGCAAGACCATTTTGCAGGCTTGAGCGTTCTCAAAACGGTCCTTTCTGCCTTGTGCCAAATCCAGACCCTTCCGTTGTACGGGGAGCCTGCTGTGTAGACCAGGAGCCCAGGGGTTTTCTCAGGGTTTTCTCCTGGGGGCTTGTTGCAGGCACGATTCAGCGTCTGAAGGACCCTGACCTCTCTTCCGTGGAGACGCACTCAACTTATCTTGGGGTCCGTGGACTGGCCGGGAGTTGGGTGTCATCGGCACCTGCTGAGGTCTGCTCCATGGCCGCGTTCCCAGGGTGAGGGGGCTCCCACAGGTAAGGGTAGAACAGGGGTGTCGGGGTGCCGTGTGCAGGGCAGGTTAAGCTCTTGTGAAAGCAGTTTTCTGCCGGCGAACAGGAGCCCCGTCATGTGTTAGAGACCCCGCCGTCGGTCCCCGTCTGCCCGGCCCCTTGTGTGGTACTCTGTCCCTGATCCTGCAGCTTCCTTGCATCACCGGGTGGATGGCCCAGCGCCCACGTGATTCTCCAGGGCACCTCTCAGAGAGGTTAGGGAGCCAGCTCTGGGCGGCCCCGGCTTGGGGTGCGGGAGGGGACTGGCGGCACTGTCCAGGGACCAGAGGGGACAGACGTCGTGGGGCGCCGGGTCCCCAGCTGGAGGGCTAGAGCCGTGAGGGCTAGAGTCTGTCCCCAGCTCCCAGGCAGGGAGGCCGTCACTCAGCAAACATGGGCGCCCTCCAGGAGGCCCAGGCCCAGGCTGAGATGGTGCGGGTGGGGAACAGAAAGTTAGTCTGGAGCAGCCAGTGCGAGTGCCCGAGGAATCCGGGAGGCCCCCTGGAGGTGGCAGACCCACGGCCCCAGGCTTGTTAGCGAATCCAGCCGCGGGCCTGCCACGTCCCAGGGCCGTGCTGCCAGGCGCCGCCCCTCCCACCGCCCCACGCCAGCCCTGCACAGGCCACATCTGCTGCCGCAGCCCTGCCAGGGCTCCGCCTCCATCCCCATGGAAACCACGGGGACTGGGGGTCCTGCTGCATTTGGCCCGCTGACTGGTTTCCATTAGAGGCAGCCTGCTTTCCTTGAGACTTGCCCCTGAAGTTCAGGGCTCCTCCCAGGGGTTTCTTCCTGCGTTTACTAAGCGCCGGCCTTTCCTGTGCCAGGGCACCCAGTGGTCTAGGCCTGCCCGTCCTGGCTGGCATCCCTCTGTGGGGTGAGTGCCCAGAGTCCCACCCAGGGCCGAGGCTGCTCTTCATCTTAACGGGCTGCAGGCTCAGACTTCGTCTCTTCTCACCCAGGACCACTAACTGCTGAGGCGCGGACGCTGGACCTGAGTCAGGGGCCCCGGTCTCCCGTCCCAGCTGTGCCATAGAGTCGCTAGGGGACCTTGAATGGCCCCTCCCCTCTCCGGGCCTCAGTTTACCCCTCTGTACAATGAGAGGGTTGAAGTGTTTCTCTAGTTCCTTGCAACGCCACAAAAGGAGAAAGAAAGTGAAGCTGCAGCAACGCCAGCTCTCCTAGAGTCTCAGTTCTGGGATTTTTGTTTTCAGAGAGGGATTTTTTTTTTTCCTTAAAGGAAGGAGCCATGGAATTTGACCGGAGATTAAATTTGAGAGGCCGACAGCCAGCCAGATCCCGCGGACCCACGGTGGGGAAGGCCGGGCTCGGCTGTGGGCGGCCGTGCCCGCCAGGCTCCGCTTGACGTGTCGGGTGCCCAGTGACCTGGCTGTGAACGCAGCGAGCAGAGGCATGTGCCGTGCCCCCGACGGAATCCAGAGGGCTCTGGAAAACTACCCGAGAGGTTTCCGGAGGTCAGAAATGTGGGCAGAAAATGAGATCCAGCTTTTAAAAAAAAAAAAAAAAAAAAAACAACCCAGCTGGCTCATCCTCCAGGGAGATCGGGGGCCTGTGAGAGACCTGGGGGAGCGCCGATGCTCGGTTATCTTTGAAGAGCTCGCCCAGGGCTGATCCGTGGCAGCTGCTGCAGACCCAGCCTGACGGGCGCCCTGGCGGAGGTGCCGTCTTCCCTCACTCCTCCTCTCACGGGAGATGCCGGGTGACGCTAGGGGACATTTTTGCCCAACCTGCCCAGTGGGTGCTTTGGCTCTTCCCATGAGAACCCTCAGCTCCCACTTGCTTATCGTGAAATGTCACAGATATCGTGGGGGCTGGCTTCTGCTCGGTCCCTGCAACTGCTGTACTGGGGACACTTTGCAGCTTATGACAAGGAGCAGAAGCTCAGGGGCGACAGGCCTTCATAGCAGCAGGGAGTGGTTTGCTGGGTGGTTTGGGCAGATTGCTTTCCTCCCTGGGCCTCCGTTTCCTCAGCTGTAAAACGGGGGTCGTGACACTGACCTGCCGGGTTAGTGTGGAAATTAGGTGAGCCTTGGGGTCGAGGCTGGAGACGTGGTAGGTGATGGCGTCAGACTGCGCCCACCCCACATCCCCATCGTGAGTGAAGCAGGCAGCGCGTCCCAGGGTGCCGCAGACCCACGGCGGGGCTGACCCTCACCCGGCCCGTCTCCAGGGAAGTTGGGGACAGACTGCATTTCTCAAGGTCACCTGGAACCCACTGCTGGAAGGCCCTGGGTAGCCAGCACGATGGATGGTGCTTCCTCTTCCTCACCTGAGCCCAGGGAGCACAAACCTCCCTGCTGGAGGCCGCCTGGGTTTGCTGGCAGGTCGTGGTGGCAGGAGAAGCGGCCGACGGGCCCTGGGGACATCGTCATTGCAGCTCAAAGGGTAGGCTGGTAGCATCTTCCGTTTTCTGTCCTGGACAGGAGTGGAACTTTGGTCTGGATGACGGCGCCCCGGGAGCCACTGCCTCTGTGCACCCCAGCCCGGCCTCCCCAGCGCAGCAGGCGGAGGGTGTGAGCTCAGAGCAGCGGCCTGCTGCGCTGGCTGACGTTGCTTTAGACGCGGGGAGACTGGGATAATGTAGGAAATGATGGAAATTTCCCCAGGGAAAGAAGGAAGGGAAGCTTAAGTGCCCAGATAATTATACAGCCTGGCGTGGTGATTTATGGCGGGCAGGCGGGCAGCACTGCCCCCTCCCGTCTCAGCCCCTTGTGCCCGGAGACCGGCGGGCGCCGCCCAGCACCCGAGTTAGGCCGTGTGTCACAGGGATGGAGCCCCTCGGTGTGCTGGGCCCCGACGTCGGTTATCGGGGCGACGTCGTGGAACTCTGACGTGCCCCCCACCTGGAAAGCTGAGGTCTGGGAGGCTGAGCCCCTCACGCAGCTCTAAATGGTGGCGCCCAAGCCAGGCTAGCCAGTGTCTTAAAGCCCAGAACCTTCCCTCTGCCCACAGCTGCATTTGGGGCCTCGGGCGGGCAGGGCCTGGGAGGCGGCCCATGAGAAAGGTGACAGATCAAAGCAGGGTGGCAGCTATCACCGCTGGTGCCACAGGAGGGGGACAGCCAAGACCGCAGAGTTGGGCAGAAGTAAGAAGGTGCGTTTTCTGGCTTGGATCTGGGGCTGCCCTGTAACTAGACGAGAGACTCCAGGCAGGCTGCCTGGACAGTGCACCATTTGGGGCCTGACCTTGGGTGGCTTCCGCTGGGGACTTTCCTCTGCTGTGACCACACCCATCCCCCCCTCCCTCCTAAAATTCCCGGGGGATGTCCCAAACAGCTTCTGACCTGCCCAGTCATCCTCGACTCCCCTCCCTGCCACACCCAGACCATCCCGAGTCCTTGCAGTTCTGCTTTCAGCATCTCGCCGACGCCCTCCTCCACCCGCCGGACGGTGCCCATTGTCTTGCCCACCCAGGAATGTGCCCCGTCTCCCATCCTGCAGGCTCCCCTCCAGCTCCTGGCTGCAGTCCAGCCTCCCCTTCATGGGACTCGAGAGGCCCCCAGCAACCTGCCTTCCCCCTTCCACGGCTCCATTCCCCACCTCTCCAGACTGTGACGCAGCATCACCTCCTCCTGGAAGCCCTCCCTGCTCTCCACATGCCCACTGCCCTACAGACCCATTACCCTGGGAGACTGGGCGCCTTGAGAAGGACAGGCCAAAAGCACCAGCCCGGCACAGGGCAGGCTCTTGGGGAACATTTCATGAATGAACAAAACAGAATCCAGAGATTGAAACAGAAGAAGAGAAGGCTGTGCACCAACTCTCTGAGTTCCGGGCCGCACGTAAGCCATCGAGTGCGCCACTGCGGCCAGGGGGTCAAGGCGCTTGGAGAAACAAGCAGACAGTTTACTTTTCCGCCTTCATCAGATACATTCCGTTTCAGGTCAAGTCCGGGGCTTGTGAAACCTTGTCACAAATGGGTGTGATGGCGCCGGACGGACAGGCCCAAGCTCTGCACCCTTGTGGCCGGGAGGGTGGACTGCGGGGATAACGCGGGGCCAAGGGGACCCACGCTTCTTCCTGGGGGTTCCAGCTGGGAAGACCAGCTGGTAGCGGTGCCCATGGGGCTTGTGGGCCTCTTCCCCGAAGATCACTGGGTGTGAAAGGCAGGGGTCCGTCGGCCCATCAGATGTCATCGGTGCGTCTCGGCACGTTCTGTTCAGTTAGAGTAGATATTTTCAACTCACAGGTATCCTGCCTGGTCCTGCCCCTACGTTGTCACAGCTCACAGGGGTCCCCTTCCTCCAGGGGGTGATGACAAAGTGTGGGGCCCTCTCACCTCCCCGCCCCCGGCAGTGGCCGGTTTCTTCCAGGTCGGCCCTGGGCCTGCAGCCCCTGGGTGGGACCCACCGCAGCCCTCGTCTTCCCGTCGGTCACCTCCACGGGTTGGTGGCAAACAAGCGTGTTGGCGCCCAGCACCCTCCCAGGGGCCTGGCACCTTTGTCCCGCTATGGAGGGTCGGGAGCAACTTCCGTTCAGCCCTTTTAAAAGTGTACCTTGGGGAGGTCACTGCTGACCAGCGTGCAGGGCCCTCGGTAGCACCCGCAGCTCTGTCGTCGGCCTGCTGCAAGATCTTGGGCCAGTCTCTCCCCCGCTGTGAGCCGGTTTCCCCACCTGCCGCACCATCTCTTTGACCTCCACCTGTACCGTCGGGTGGGTCTCTGGAAGGTTCGGAGGGGCCAGGTGTGGGGTAGCTGCTCTGGGCGTGTGAGAGTGTTCCTGGGCTTTGAGCTGGGATCCTCTGCCTTGTGAGGAGGTCACGTGGTGGCAGGTTCTGTGGCCGTTCAGAAGGACCAGGGTGGAAGTGCTTCCAGAAGGGCAGAGGCCCCTCCCGGAGGGAGCTTTACTATGTGTTGGGTTCCCAGAGAATGCAAACAAAGGTTTGCTGCCTCTTTCTCCTTTTTTCAGTTTTCCAGAATCATGTTAATGAGCGTCTATTCCTTTTGCAACAGAAAAACAAAATTTAAATTACAAAACTAGCCACCTGGCCAGAGTGAAACTGACCCGCCCCGATTCTCACTGCATGTTTTCCCCAAAGGAGAGATGTTAACACGAGGCACAGGCGGTCACAGTGAGGGCAGCACCGTGGTCCTGGTGCATTTTGGCCATTTAAAAGGAGTAGAGGCCACTTAGGGGGAGGTGGTGCTCTGATGCGGGGTGCCCCCCCCCCCCCCCACCAAGAGGCGGGAGGCAGAGCCTGTCCTCACGTCTGGACATCTGGACGCACGTTAGGGATGTTCTGAGTCTGATGCCTGGAAATGAATCTGTAGGGAAAGCGGGCCTCTGTTTTGTCATCACGCTAGAGCCAGGCCGTTATTTCGCCGTTCCAGACACCGCCCTCGTCCATGACAGACCCCATGTAGCGGATGTGCGTCTGGCAATGGCCGGCTTTTCCGGAACCGACTTGGCGATCACCCCGGTGGTGACGGTTGCCTTTTGTGAGGACCTACTGTGTGTGCCGGCCAAGCTCTTGGGAATTCCGTGTTCGTTCATTTGCTCTGATGTCAGCTTCAGGCGGTAGGTGTAAACGGCCCCTTTTTAAGATACAAAACTGAGGCTCAGAGAGGCCAGTTTCCTGAAGACCACACAGCCCGGAAGGTTCTCTGTGACCTGTTCGTGGGCTCCTCCCCAGGGCTAGCAGGTCTGCCACTAGAGGCTGTGTCGACTTGAGCTCACCTGCACCCTGGCCGCACTGCCTGCCCTGGTAGCCGTCGGCTCCCCAAGTCCCTACTGGAGCTATTGTGGCCCAAGTGAAGTGGCAGAGCTGGGGACCTACCCCCGGTGTGTGCATCTGGCAACTCAGGGAGGCTGGAGGACGTGGACCGGAGGCTCGCTGGCCGACCTCTGGCTCCTCCTGACCCATCTCGGACCCCTCCGAGGGCTTGGGGGCCCGGCCGGCACAGCATCGCCCAGGGCCAGGTCCCAGCGCTTCCCACGGCATCTCTGCACATACGTTGAGGGGTGGTTTCTGCACGATTCGTTAGGAGCTGGCGTTTGCAGGGAGGGTGTTTCTCCTACGTGTGACCTCTGAGAGAGGCCAAGTTGAATGCTGAAGACCAGTGTTGACAAGGCAGGGCTGAGCCCTCTGGGGGTGCGGCTGGGCCGTGGGCCTGGGCCCTGAAGCTCGGCTGATATCAGAGCTCCTGCTGGCGGCTCAGAGCCTCCTGCCCGAGGCCTGCGCTCAGCTGTGTCCACGCAGGCCCCAGCCCCGGCAAGTTGGCCAGCTGTCAGACAAGAGGCTGGGAGAAATGTCTCCAGGCACCAGAGTGCAATGACTTGTCTCACGTCCTCGAAGTGCCCTGGGGGGCGGTCAGCAGTGGACGCGACCATCTGCTGAGCCCCACTGTGCGTGGGCACAGCACGTGCGTTGTCTAATCACGTGTGTGAATCTGAGGAGGTGGCATCACTGTTCCTTTATTACAGATGAGGAGACTGAGGCTCAGAGACGTGAAGGGGCTCGTCCAAGGTCACAGGACAGAGCTGAGATGGGAACCCAGCGGCCTCCAGCCACGCTGTAGATGGACGCAGGAATGTTCCGCAGGGCAGGGGCGAGGAGGGGCCGGGGTGAGGTGGGGGTCAGCCTCCGGGGCATCCTGCTGGGCCTGGTGCCGGTGCCAGCAGACTCTGCCAGCCTCCCTGGGCCAGAAGCTTCCAGAGGACAGAACCGCCTCTGGTCAAAGAGCCGCCAGATGGCCTGGGCCAGCGCTGCCATCCAGGTGGCCACGTCGTGGGGCACGGGCTGCGAGCAGTGCCGGCGCCCGGGTGGTTCTGGGGCAGGGAGGAGGGAGCATTGTTCCGAGCCAGCCTTGGGTTTGGGACTTTTACTCTCGTCACCTGTAATGTCACAGCCCTACGAGGTGGACAGGCTGTCCCACGTCACAGGGTAGGAAACTGGACCAGAGAGGGCAGTCTTGTGCCTGGAGCCACACAGCAAACAGGGGCAGCAGGTGTGGCTGACTCCCCCTCACTCCCACTCCCCCACAACCTGCCTCATAGATCCTGGAATATGGGGGGCTGCCGTTCGGGGTTCACTAGTGACCCTGAGACAGGCTGAGGCCCCTGGCCACCCTTCCAGCACACGATGTGGGCCGGCCCATCGAGAGAGGGCAGGCGTGGAGGCTCAACCCGCCCCTCGGGGGCGCGATGCACTCCCAGGAGAGCTTCAGAGGCTCCGAGGGCAGGGGACGCGCCGTGTCCGACCGGAGCACGCAGGCATGGGGAGCAGGCCAAGGGCGCTGGTGTTGCCAGGCGCCTCTTTGTGCCAGGTGCCGGACCAGGGAGCCCAGAGGTCGCTCAGCCTGGTGGTTCCGTGGTTGCTGTTGGGCACGTGGGTGAAAGGATCCGGGGGCACTGAGTGTCCCGGAGAGAGGGCATCCTGTAAACGCTGCCGTGGGGTCAGACGTGGGGGGTGCTCCCTGGCCCCAGCACGGTCCCGTGGCCGGCTGTCCCAGTGAGTTTTCTAGCCATGGTCACGTGTGGCTCCTGTGACTTTCAGGTATCCAGCCAGGGCCCCAGAGCCGCCCCTGCCCCTGCAGCCGGAGCTCCACTCACCTGTCAGGACAGAAACCCCGTCCCCGCCGGGTGCGCACAGCGGGCGTGGGGTAGCCCGCGGAGCGGCCGGCATCCACCTCCCCTTGCTCTCCTCTGCTGAGCGTGGCCTTCTGCTGTTTCCCCTCCCGCAGCTCCTGTGCCCTGGAAGCCTGATTTCTGACGCCAGCGTCAGCTAGAGGAATATCGACCTAGGCTATCTGCAAAAGGGGGGCCTCAGCGGCTGGGCCTGTGGGGTTCAGCGTGCCGCCCACAGTAGTGCCCCTCTTGAGCGCCAGCCGGGCTGTGCTCGCCGTCCAGAGGGAAGAGAGTGGGTGGAAGTGCTGTCGGCCCCCCCGTGCTGTTGGAGGGTCCCTGGTCTGTGGTCTCTCCTGGGTGGGCCCCAGAGCTGTTGCCCCATCGCCCAGGTGAGGTCACTGGAGCTACCCCAGCCCAGGTGCCGCCCGGGAGGGGCCGTCAGAGGGATCCTCACCGGGCAGTGGGGGTTTGTTCAGCCCATCGCACTGTCAGGAGAGACAGGGAGGGAGTCCAGCCGTCCAGGCAGGGCTGTGCGGCCTCAAGGCCATCCTTTCTTAATGGAGTGGCGGTGGGGGCGGTAGGTGCTCCCCTCGACATAACAGGATGGTGACGTGCTCACCAGAAGCCCGTGCAGGCTCTGTGCGGTGGTGGCAGCCAGGCCTGGGCTGACCTCCTGGCCCCCAGCTTCTCTCGGAACCTGCACAACGCTCTGGGCCGCAGACCTGGTGGTCCCCGTACTACAGTCGGGGAACCTGAGGCCGCGAGAGGCGCTGGGCAGCGTGTGTGGGGGAGGCACCCAGAGCTGCATGACGCGGGGTCCTGAGGCCACGCCGCGTGTAGACAGGGTGCAGAGGGCTTCCAGGTTCCCGTCTCTGAGCACCTTATGAGTCCCACGCGTGTCCCAGAGGCCCTGCTGCCGAGGAGGGCGCTGAGCTGCCTGGCGGTACCTGGAGAGACTCAGCCCGACGGCTCCCTGCCCGGCGCCCGCACAGCTCTCACCTGTCCGCAGGGAGCTCGGCCCCGGTCCGCCGGTGACAGGGACGCGCTCCTGAGAGGACCGGCGTCTGTGGGAGCCACACACCTGCGCCTGGGCGCAGGCAGGAGAGCGTGGGGTCACCAGCACGCTCCCGGGGCCTTGGCGCCCAGACCCACCTTCCTCCTGGCCACCCCGTCACACGGGGCCTGGGGCAGAGGCCTGAGAAAGGAGTGGGGCCTGGGTAGCTGCCCCGACCTGTGAGTCCAGCCGAGGCCCAGCAGAATTCCCAGTCATGGAGGCTCAGACCTCCGTCTGGATTTGCTGTTTTGTTGTCACCGAGGACGAGCCATCCCTGCTTTGGGAGAGCCTGTGCACCTTTGGCGGCCGGAGCCCGGGGCAGGACTTCTGGGCCTGTGCTTAGCCTTCGGGGCCTTGGTGTGCACGGTTGCTCGGTCCTAGGGTATGCCCTCACTGGCACATTCGGGAAAGACCCAGAGTCACGTCTGCACTTTCTGTTCCTAGGTATTGGGCATTGTTCGACGAGCGAATGGGGACGTTTCCATGCCTCCTGGGTGCCGGGCACCGTGCTAGCCCTGAGGGTCACACCGCTGCCTAAGAGGTGGTCCCTGCCGCAGAGCTACCTGCCTGTGGGGAGACAGGGAGTGCGAGTGTCCGTGAGCTGATTTCAAGGGACCCCCAGCCTACCGCTAGAGCTGACCTATGGCTCCCGGTCCAGGAGGCCCCCCTGGGGGAGGTGACCTAAAGGATGGGTAGGAATTAGGCCTTTGATGGCAGGCCAACATTCTGGCCCCAGGGAACGGTGGGTGCCAAAGCAGGGCCGGAGTGAAGGGGGCAGGGGTGCCGTGAAGCGGCGACCTCGCTCTGCCAGGAGCAGGCGCCTCGAGTCTCGCCAGCCCCCTTCCTCTGCAGACGCTGGAGGATGTGCGTGGCTGGGCTGCAGGGGAGCCAGCGGTCGGGGTTTGAGTGTAAGTCCAGCACCAGGGGTGGCAGTGGGGCAGCCAGACGGTCAGACGAGGTTTTCTTTGCGGTCCTTCGCCTCTAAGGCCCTTAACCTCTGGGCGCCGAGGCAGCTTGTGGGCAGCACGCAGCAGGCTAGGCCCATCTGCAGGTGCGGCATGAGGGGGTGAATGAGCGGTGTGGGGAGAGGCCGCACTGAGCCCCCGCTCGTGCTCGGGCCGGGAGCCACCAGACCTGCGGAGCTGACTCCTCGGCCACTTCATTTCTTGCAGAACATGGCTGGTCCCAGAGCACCCCCGAGAAAGTGCACACCTGTCGTGGCCTTCAAAAGACGCTCCAGGACCACACGGCCAGGTGGACGGTGTTTGCCCTGCGTCTGGGTGGTGAGGCAGCCCAGGAGGTGAGCAGCCTGGCCGGGAGGGGAACATGGACCCGGTCTTGGGAGACCCCAGCACCAGCCCCTTCCTCGCAGGCCCCAACCTGCAGCCAGCCGGGCCCACCCTGCCCAGAGTTCCCGAGGGCCGGGCTCGGCCTGGCCCCCGGCAGGTGGAAGAGATCCCGCTCCGCCACCAGGAGCGAGGGAGTAGAGCAAAGGATTCCCTGTCCACTCTGGTCCCGCCAAGCCCCGCACCTGCCCTGTGGCCCGATTACGGCGCTGGCCGGCTGGCCTCCTGGAAGCAGATGGAAGCAGGGAGGCCCCACCCAGTTCGCTGGCACAGAGACTCCCCTGAACCAGCTCTGTGCTGTCAGCGCCCATGGCCCCCAGCCCACCTCTGACGAGCCGTCCAGCTGGGTGGGCTTCGTTGGTGCCCTGAGCCTCGGTTTACCCGTCTGTAAGACTTAGGCAGGAAGACCTCCTAGCAGAGTTTGGGGGTGCACAGCCTAGAACACCCGTGGCTTCGGTGAGGGCCTGGGGGTGGGACACAGCCTTTGCCCCCGAGAAGCAGCAGGGGTTTATAACCCACCGAAAGACAGAAAACTCCTCAACGTGGCGCTCTCCTGGCCTCCTCTCCCTTCGCCGGAGCTCAGCAGGGCCCGGCCTCATCTATTCGTTACCTTGGGTTTATCGTGCTGGGGGCTGGGTGAGAGGAAGGGGTGGGTCGAGGCGAAGCCAGCTCCTGCCCCGTGCAGCGTGGGGACTTGTGGCAGCCTCTGCTCCAAGTGGCCAGGGGACTTTGTTAGCAGCATCTCTGAGGCAGCCAGGAGGGTTTCAGTGGCCCAGGAACCCAGGCCTGCTGTGGCCACGTGGCTTCGGGTCAATTTCACAGGCTTGGGGAGGGCATGGAGGTGGCCCTGTTAGCAAGGACGCTGCCAGAGGTGGCTGAGTAGGGAGAGGCGACCGCTCTGGGTCCTCAGGATCTTAGCAGCTCTACGGGTGGTCGTGGGTCTGTTTGCACATCACCGGGACAAGGTGCCCACCTGCCGGGGGGTATTCCAGACCCCCGAGGTTCTCTGTCAGTGTTACAAAGCGTCTCCTGGGACAGCATCTGAGGGCTCATGGGAATGACCACACTGTAGCAGAAGACTGAGCCACAGCCTAGGGTCAGACTGCCGGGCCCCAGCCTCACCCCACCTTCCCTGCCGTGTGATCATAGGGAAGCCATGGCCCCTGCCTGGGGTTCTGTTTTCTCATTTGCAAAAAGGGCGTCCCTACTTCTCCCTGCCTCCTTACCAGACACCAAAGAGCAGAAGGGGATGCCAAACCTGGCTGAGAAGCGGGGGTCTGGCTCGGGACCAATCACAGCCCACCACTTGCAGAGATGAAGCCTGCTACGCACACGGCCCTCACCAGTCGTATAGGCAGGAAGGGAACTAAGGTGTTATTTGTTTTCTTTTTTCTTTATGTCGTGCCACATTAGAAATATATGTGTGAAGCGGCTTAGAGCAATATTGACAATGCAGAAGAGTAAAAATAAACAGCTGAGGAAATTGGGGCAAAGGGAAAATCGCAGGTAGGCCTAGAGAGTCCATGTCATGTAGGCATTTCCCAGTTCTGTCAGTTCAGCTCTGAGCTTCCTAGCAGCCAAAGCAAAGAGGGAAAGACTATCCCTTGCAGGAAGTGCTGTTTAGGGAGTCCTGTCTCAGCACAGTGATGCTGAGAGAGAGCTGCCTGGTGCAAACACTCAGGGTTACCCCAGAGGCCCCAGTGAGGCCGGGCAGAAAGAGAGGGAGGGAACTCCCTCATGCTCAGCACAGCTGCACCCCTCCATCATCCTGAGCATCTCACACCTTGTTTCATTTAGTTCTCCCAAACCCTAGAAACCTAGGTTGAGAGAGCGGCAGTGAGGACCCCCAGCCCTCTCTGAGCCTGACTTTGACCTTGTGTCTCTCCGTCCCCCAGATCTACATTCTTGCAGCCACACCTGCTGCCCCTTGGAGAAGGTGACCCCAGAAAACCAGGGTGTTTCAGCCCCAGTGTTTTGGGCACAAAGTCACATTGATGCAATGGTCTCCTGGCCGATAACGTCCCCCTGCGAGGCTCTGAGTGACCCCTGAGCTGTGCTGGGCCTCGCGGAGTCTTAGGGCAGGGTGGGCCAGAGCCAGCAGGGTACAGATGCAGGGCGTGCACCCCGCACACACCCAGGGCTCCTTCCCAAGACTTACCCAGCACCTCTCTCTGCTCCCAGGTCTCACCCCTTCTTCCCGGCACCCTGGTCCCTGGCTGACACCTGGAGCTTGGACGACCGTGCCACCCTCAGGTCAGCGCAGCGTTTCGAGCTCCCCACCCCCTTCCTCCAGGCGCCACCCTGGGCTGGGCATGCCTGAAAGGACACACGCACATGTGTCGCACACGCATGTGCACACACGCGCACACGCCCACACGGCCTCTGGAGGATCGCTGGGCGGGTACTTCTCTCACATTTGCTCGGGCTCAGCTGCGGGCGCTCCCCCCGCGCCTCTGCCCTCCCACCAGCCTCTTTCTGCGGCCGAGGGACCAGGGTCAGTAAGGAGTGAGGGGCTCGCCCAGGTCTCACCCCGGGAAGCTGGACCCGTGACGTCTTCCTGGCCCCCCCTGCACATAAGCTGAATGAACCCCCTTTGCAAGGAGGCAGCCACCGCAGGGCTCCGGGGTGGGGGGGCTGGGGCCAAGCGCTGGGGACCAGTGACTGCTGGGCAGAGCTCAGGGGCTCGGCAGGTGAGGAGGTCCCAGCCTGCCCCTCCGCCTCGTGCCCTGCTGGGGCTGCGGTGCTCAGAGTCTACTGGGCCCCCCGCCCCCGCCCCGCCCCCTAGCACCAGCCCGCCGTGCAGACTGTCAGGCCCACTTGGCTGCTTGCAGCCTCCTGGGGAGTCTGTGGGGCCGTGAGGGTCGGGGCCAGACTGGCGGCGTCTCCCTCCCCTCTGTTGCCATGGCCAGGGGCAGGCCTGCCTCCCAGGGCTGTGTGGAGAGGACCCGGGACCCCTCTGCCATCTGGGTCTCATGTGTTTACAGGTCCAGCTTGCCCGCCAGACTCCGCAGACACCGCCCCGGGGCTTTTGTGTCTGCACGCAGGGCATGCGCCAGCCGGTGCCCGAGGGTGGGGTGGGACACGGGTAGGGAGGGGGGAGGTGCCCCCTGGGGACATCAGGGACAGAGGGGAAAGGGGGACATGAGGGGGTATAGCATGGGAAAGGAAGAACAGAGCAGAGGCAGAGAGCAGGGCTGGGCACAGGGAGAAAGGAGACCCAGCAGAGACTGACCGCGCGGCTGTGTCTGGGAAGACGGTGCCTTCCCGGCTTTGCTCAAGGCCTTCTAGCACAGGTGCTTTTCTCGGCGCCCGCCGGGAGATCCCCTCAATGTCCCACGGGCAGCAGTGGCAGCCTCCTGGGTCCAGATGAAACGTAGGCACTGAGAGGTGCATCCCTCACACAGGCTCGGGCACCCGAGTGAACCGGGGACCGAGCCCCAGGCCCTGACGGACACTCGCAGGAGGCCACGAGGGCACGTCCCCAGGAGTGGGGAGGGGCTCCCGGGCCAGGGCGCTGGTGGCTGTGTGAAGCGGCCGAGGTCCAGGACATACTGTGCGACGGATGGGAGGTGGGGCCAGTGCGCACAGTTGGGGCTCACTCAGTGCTCGTCCAGGGCCTGAGGAACCACCAGGACGACCACACAGCCCGGTCACCGCAAGGACGAGTGCGTGCCCGGGGCTGGCGGGGAGGGCCGCCCCTCCGTGTGTGCACACCCTCCTCGTTGCACCCGGGACCACCCTGTGCACCCAGAAATGGGAGCTTGGGGGCTGGGAGCAGCCCAGCTCCGGCCTCGTCTGGGGTTCTGGAGGTTCTTTGGGGGCCAGGCGAGCCCTTTGGGCTGCTGGCTTGGGCTGGGAGAGCAGTGAAGGGTTAGGGGGACAGTGACTCACTTGGTGGGGTTTGTTTTCGCACCGACTCGTAATTGTTCTCCTGTGAGTCTGCCCGGACTCGGCCCAGGACGGGAGAGGTCTGGGCCTGGGCGGCGCCCCGGCCTCTTTCCCTGCCCCCGTGCCCTGGTGCCTCACCCACGTTGGGCAGCAGACAGGAGCCACGTGGGCCCAGTCAGCACCCTGTGCTGGCCAGTTTTCTGAAGGGAATTGTCCCTGTCCTCCCTGGCACCCTGGGTTCCTGGGATAGAGGCTACCCCCGTTCGTTCTTTAGGAGTTGGCGTGAATGTGCGTTCACGGGAAATCAAGGCTTGGGCGATGGGCCCCCATCGCCCCATGGCAGAGCCACGTTCGGAAGCTGTATCTGCTGGGCCTAATACGGCCCCGTGTGTAGGGCCAGAGCCTGGAGAAGGGGCCCCACGGCGATGCCAAGACGTGACCCCCATCTGCTCTGCAGATGCACATGTGGTACCTAATCTTTTCACCCGTGGACAAAGGGGGCCTCCAAGCCTAAGGGGCAGGAGTTTGTTCTAACATCAAACATCCAAGTGTCCTTTATTTAACCAGAGAGAAAAATTAAGGCCCTAAATACCTGGCACTTGGTCTTTTTTGGTCCCGGTGAAGACACTGACAAAACGCAAAAGGCCGGCTTCCGCTCAGGGCTTAGCTGTTGGCGCTGAGCAGTGCTCTCTGGCTGGGTGCGGTGGACCCCGGACGGGAGGAGGACGGGGGCAGGGATGCCCACCCTGAAAGCCACGCCTGGACCAGGTGACTTGGATTGGTTGGCTTTCGCGAAGCACTTTCTGTCCTGTGGGCCGGGCCCCGAGCCCACGCTCTTCCCGCGCAGGTCAGTCTTCACGACAACCCTGCCAACGGGCATCTTTCGGTGCCACTTTGCTATGGGGGCCGAGGCTCAGGGAGGTCAAGGGCCAGCCCCGGGCCACTGAGCCAGGAGCGAGCCGCCCAGCAGGGGAGGTGGAAACACCTCCGGGCTCTGGGAATGCGTGGCATCCCCGAGGTGTCGGGGCTGCCACACATCCCGAGAGGCCGTCTCCCTGGGGGGCAGGCTGAGCGGGGGCTGGGGGAGGGCTGGGGTGGCCCCCAGTGTGGACTAGAGAGTTTATAAGGGGTCTCCCTGCTGGAGTGAAGCCAAGAGGCCCTCAGACCCAGTGACGCCGGGGCTGCTGCCCGTGCAGCCCGGGTTTCCTGCCCCGGCCTGAGCTCAGCTGGGTACTTGTCTTCAGACGTTTCCCCTGTCGGAGGCCTTGTTCCCCAGAAGCTCAGCTGTGTCCAGCCCTGACTGGGGAGAGAGCAGGCTCCCGCTCTGTCCCCCGGGCCCGGCTCTGGGCTGCCCTTCTCCAAGAACACGGCGCCCGCTCAGCCTGGCTGGCCTGGGGGAACTGGGGAGCCAGAAGGCCCTTGGCCGTTCACCCCGAGGAAGGGAAATTGAGTGTCTCAGGTGGGGGCTCCCTGGGGTTACCCAGGACAGGGGGTTCTGCTCTCTCCTAGTAGCGAGACCTCAGGCAGGTAGGTGGAGACGTCTCCGGGTCTTCGTTCCCTCATTCCTGTAACGCCAGGGAGGCCGATGACGCCTGTGCTGGCGGTGTGACTGTGGGGAAATAACTTAGCCTCTCTGTGTTCATTCCCTCACCCCCAGATCAGGTTGTAATGAGGACTGACGGAGCTCCCCAGTGCGATGGGCTTGGGTCAGTGCGTCGAGCGTTCCAGGGGACAGGGTGTTTGCCCTTCCCCGGTTTCCAACGGGGAGTGTGTGCCCCAGGAAGTGCTACTACGTGTATTTGCAGCAATATCGGGCCAACAGGGATTCGAACCCTGAGCCCTGTGGCTGGGATGCTCGCTCTGCCCCACTGAGCTCCCCACCCCCGTGGGGCAGCCCGCAAGGAGCAGCCACTCCCGGGGGAGGTCTTCGGGGAGGACGGTTGTTTGGTTCGTGCCTGGGGGGTTGTCAGTACAGCGGTGGTCATACAAGCGAGGGGGACAGTGGCTCCAGCGCTCCGTGCCATGCTGAGTCACCCTTTAGAAAAGGCACTGGCTCCCCCTAATTCCACTGTCTTGTTCCTTGACCCAGGCCCCTCACCGGCTCCTGACCTGCCCGTCTCCGTCAGAGCGCAAGGCCAGCCGTGCCCCCCGGTGCGTGAGTAGCACCTCCGCTGACGGTTGCTTTTCGAGGGCCCCACTGCTGCCCGCGGCCTGGGTCAGTGCACGGCGACCCCCTGGGCCTGTCTACCCGTCTTTCAAGTGGGATTGGTCTCGATCCTGGGTTTTCGCCCTGCACAGGCTGGGAGGGATGGCCGTGGCTGGACCCAGAGCGTTGCCTCTGGTCTCCGCCTTACATCTGGGGTTCTGAGTGAGATGCTGTCTGCTGGGGCCGTGCGGAGGGGGCTCCCCAGAGCGGGTGTGAGGCGTGCAAGCAGTACAGGAGTCTTGAGGCTTGGGAAGTGGCCGGTGCTGCAGGGGGTGGGGAGGGCCCTGGCCCTGCATCCCTGGGGTGGGTCTTCCCCATGTCCCTCGGCAGCCACCCCTGTGCCCCCTGCACTGGACAGGAAGGAGGTGCCAGCCTGGACCATGGGGTGGGCTGTGCTGGGACGGCCCCAGAACACAGGACAGCGCCTTGGGCCACCTGGTCGAGGCTGCCCCGCCCTCAGGCCAGTGAGGACACATACCCCGTCAGTCAGGAGGGCATCAGGGCCGGTGTCTCGGACATAAGCCTTCCCAGGGACCGCCCGGAGCCCCCCGAAGGGCTGACAGGGCTTCTGGCAGCGGGGTGATTGGCAGCTCGGGCGCGAGGATGGTTCTGAAGAGGGTGCTGCCTGCGCCTCTCCCTGGCCCGGCCCTCCAGGCGGGACTGCTTCCCAGGTGGACTTCCTCATCCTGCCAGGCCGCCCTGCCCGCCTCGCCGCCTTTGTCTTCCCGGTGCCGTCCGCCCTCTCGTATGCGAGGCTGAGGCCCAGCGCAGGGAGGGGACCGCTGCCCTCTGGCCCCGCGCGGCCTTGGCCGTGGCCACCCCGGGCTTGGCACCCGCCGACGTCTCGGTGAGGCGTCTGGGAGCCCCGACCCTGCCGCCCCAGACTTCCCCGCTGCAGACCACCCCCAGGAGAGCCGTTGTGAAAGCCGCACCCCCGGAGGGAGTCCCTGGCGGCCGGTGTGGACAGTTCTAGAAATGATGGGGTGGGGGGAGTGGACCCCCGGACACGCCGCGCACGGAGGCAGCCCCGGGCCTCTGCCGGCCTTCTCACCCCCTTTCCTGCCTGAGGGCCTCGGGGCTCTGGGCCGGGCTCCGGGGCTCCCGGTGTTCAGTCGGGCTTCCAGTGCCCCCTGTCTTTAGGAAGCAGGGGCGGGGGCTTCCTGGGGGAGGCGAGCTCCCTGCGGAGCGAGGCGAGGCAGCGGCGCTCTGCAGCTGCACTTCCCCTGGGGCCTGGGCTGCAGAGCGGGGTGAGCCTCAACGCCCCCGCAGACCAGACCCTGCGACCTCAGGCCCCCAGAGCGCTGGCCAGGCCGGGAGCAGCGGCGCCTCCGTCAGCGCGGAGCTCTCTGCCTCCTGCCGTGCCCGCTGCTCTCGAGCACCCGGCGATCGCAGGGGAAGCGGCCGCGGAGCAGCCCCTGGGCGTCCAAGGAGTCCTGGCTGCAGGGCCTGGAGGGCGGTCGAGAGGAGACGCCACTGACCCAGGAGCCAGCCCAGGGCAGGGCCCCGGCGGCCATGGCAGGTGGACGGGGAGCCGCCGGCGCCAGCGCTCGCCGGCAGGGCCCCGCGACGAGGTCCTCCGAGGGCCGCCCGCGTGCTCTCTGGAGGAGGTTCACGGAAACGTCCGCGTAGAGAAGCAGGGGTTTGGAGGAAAGTGCGTGGTTTCACAGGGACTGTGCCGGTTTCTCTGGCAGCATGGGGCTTGCCAGGTGGACTGAGGGCAAGTTCTGCCCTGTGTTCTCTGGGTGACCAAGGTCAGGTCCTCGCTGGACAGCACACGTGTAGAAGAGCGCACAGTAGGGCCTCAGGAGCGGCGGGGCAGCTTCCCCAGACACCTATGGCCCAGCCAAGCCTTCCAGGCTGGGACAGTCACGGGACGAGGCCCAGGTTTTTCCCGGACAGCCTCGCCTCTCGCAGTTCCCGGAGAGAACATTCCGTCACCATGAAGTGGGGTTTGCTCAGCTCCCCCGGCCCGGCCCGGCCCGGCCCGGGGAAACCCAGCCAAGGACGGGATGGTGTAATGCCCAGACCAGAGCCACGGGTCCACATGCTAGGCCAGGCCCAGAGCCCCCCGGGGGGCCCGGGAGCCCCGCAGCAGAAGGGCCCTCCTGAGGGGCTGCTGCCAGGTGGGGCTGCCCCAGAACACGGTTTCACACTGGGCGTTTTTAATGACGTGGTTGCATTTGGTTCCCCCTCTCTCCCTCCCTCTCCTCACCTTGTGACCCAGAATGCGGCTTGAGCTGAGAATATTTTCAGATAAATACACGCCTTTGAGGTTAAAACTGTTGCCTAATGGTTAGGCACCAGATGGAGACGCCCACAGGCTCAGAAAGGGCTCTGCCTGCCGGCTCTTCCCTCTGGACTCTGAGCAAACCCTGCCGCGGTGAAGAGCGGCTTCCCCTGGTGATCCCCCCCTCCCCCAACTGGCGCAGAGGCACCTGGACCTTCCTCCCGACAGCCCTGGCATCCTTGCCCTACTTTACAGAGGAAACGGCGGAGGCCAGAGGTGCTGATTAACTTTGCCCGAGGCCCATTGCCGGCTGGGGCCAAAGCAGGGGTCAGAACTATGGCCTGGCAGCCCCTAGAACCACCTATCCCCACCCCCACCCCATGCCCATGGCCCCCATGGGTGCAGGTATGTCTGTAGAGCAGGGCTGGATCCCGTTGCCTGGGCCATCCGGGCCTCCCCGGCCAGCATCAGGCCCCCAGCTTCCTGGATGCTAGGACTCTTGTGGGCTTTCAGACTCGCACATCTGTGGGCAGTGACACTCGGCCCCCGGTACGTGTCTGGCCCCTTCCCTGGGGAGTGGACATTTCCCATGCCTGGCCACCTTCCACCTATGAGCTTGGAGCTCTCTGGGGACAGGAGAGCAGGGAGCCAGGGGCGGGGCACAGACTCCCGGGATGGGAGACCCCGACCCAGAGCACACGGGCGTCTGTCTCGGGGAGGCTGGGCAGGAAGGGAACCAACAAGAGAGCACCTGGGGCCCCTGGGAAGGAAGGCAGGCCTGGGGTGGACCCCAGGGGGCTGGCGCAGGGGCTTCTGTCTGGAGGAACCACTTCCCCACCTGCGTGGCCTGCGCCGCCTAGAGGTGTGCAGGGCCGTGGGAAGAGCCTGGGGTCAGAAATCCGGCTTCCAGTTCTAGTTTTGCCCCTCTGTCCCTGAGGGGCGCTCTTGGGGGCAATGAAGCCACTGGGCCCCGTGCTCAGCTGAGCTGTTGGAACCTGAGGCAGAAAGAGGAGTTGGTAACCATCCGTTGTGCCCTTATTTAAGTTTGACATCCTTATATCGTGGGCCTCTTTGCATTTTTAAAACATTTTGTGTTGAAACGTTTGTCTTGATTCCTGAGTTTGGTGCCCCGTTCAGTGTGTGCCCGGCCCTGCCCGGCGCACGATGGGCGCACAGCCCCCGCCCGGCCCGAGCTGGCCTCTGCCCGGTGCGCACGTCTCGCTAACTGTATGGGCCGTGTTCGCACGCAGACCCGGCCCCCGGACGCCACCCCCGCGCCTTTTTCCCAGACTCCATTGTTGGCATGGCTTGCCGAGCAGACACACTGGCCGCTTTATGGGGAGAAACCTAATCGGGGCAGCAGTGGGGGGGCGGCCATGGGGGGGTCCCGGCTCCCGGTGGCCCCAAGCCAAGCCCGAGGTGACTGCAGGGTGACACCGTCTGTCTGCCTCGCTCGCTCCAGACATCCGCCTGGCCCTGAAAAGGCCACCTGCCCACTGAGGCCTCCCACACACCTGTCCCCGGCTGGCCTGGCTCCTCCCAGCCCGGGCCTGCCCGGCGCCCTGCCCACAGGCAGACGCTGGGGACTGGGGCTGAGCCGGCGGTGGCAGATGGCAGGGCGGCTGCTGACTGCCCGCTCCCCGCAGCCCTGCTCAGGGAGCCTCTTCACGCCGCGTTGCCTGCTCCTGCCACCGCCCCGTCCAGGCTGACTGGGAAGGGTCCCTTCGGAGCTCTCAGACCCCTGCCATCCCGCCGGAAGAAGGGAGGTCTCTGCCGTCCCTCCCTGGGCCAAGACCCGTGGTCGCTTCTAGGACCGTGGGGCAGGAGGGCCAGCAAATCACGTCCCCTGGCACGTGGGATTGGGGCCACTTCCCAGCTCAGAAATGTCTCCACGATCAGGTCACAGACCCAGAAATGTCAGGGCTCCTTCATCCCCCCAAACCTGGGTTGTTGGCTAAAGGAAGAGCCAGCTTGTGTGGGAGCTGTGCCTTGGTGGGTAAAGCCAGGGTTCAGGGGACCCTGCCGGGGGTACGGTGTCTGCCGCCTGGTCACCTGGATAGGCTGTGAATGTGTAGGAGCCCGCCTGGCCCTCATGGAGGGAGAAAGTCCCCACCGTCCGTGGGCACCTTCACGGGCACCGCTTACGTCAGCTACATGGCTGCCGTGGGTCTGGGTGTCCAGGCGTGAGGCCTGGAGCTTAGGAGCGCAAGGCCCAGTCCCAGAACCAGGGCAGAGCTAGGATTCGTCTGGGCACCACTGCCCTCCCGATGGGCAGTAAGAGACGGGCACGTGTGTGGGGAGCACGGGGTCTTCATGGCAAGGAGAGGAACAATGGGACGGTCCCTCCTGGCACAGGACAGGCCAGGGCAAGGGCCGAGAGGTGCGGGGAGCGGGGGGCTGACAGACGGGTGGGGAGGGTGGGGGAGGGCTGCCCAGGGCATTTTCCTGCTCTGGGAGGCTGGAGGGGGACGTGAGGGGGGCCAGGCTGGGCGGGGCGCAGAGGCGCGGCAGCACAGAGACGTGAGCCCTGGTGATGGACAGTCTGGCCTCTGGAGCGCTGAGGGAGAGGGGCCAGGACAGGACCACCGCAGCCAGATGGGCTAATCTTCCCATCCCTGTTAGTGGCCAGGAACACTGAGGCTCAGTGGTTGGCCCGTGGCAGGGATGGACAGACCCAAGTAGGTCTGGCTCCAAGTCCAGCGTCTCGGGCTCAGCCTCAGAGGCTCTGCAGCTGGCCAGCAGGCCGGCTGTGTGCTCGTGTTACACCTGTGTCCCTTCCCTTGTGCTGGTCCCGGGAGGGCACCTGGCCGGAATGGGCCGGAGCCAGGTGGGGTTGCAATTCACTGAGTGAGCCCTGGCTGAGGCCTCAGAGCCTGGGTCCTGGGCGCCCCTTCCCCGGGGCTTCTGCTCTTGGGACGATCCCAGGCCTCGCCTGCCCCGGGGCAGGAGCGTCAGCCTGTCGGGAGCCTCCGCTGTGAAGTGGGGGGTCTGGCTCCTCCTCCCGGGTCCTACTAAGTGCCAGGCGCACAGGAGGTGGGCACACGTCCCTTCTCCCCTGGGCACCCCACCCTCCAGGCCCCAGAGCGTCGGTGTGAGCCTGCTGGGGCGCTGGCCACCCAGCACGGGAACGCCGGCGGCCCTGGCCATTCAAGGACGAGGCCTGGGTCTTGTTCACCTCTGACCCAGCATCGTCCAGCACAGGCAGCCACAGAGGCCGTTCTCTCTAGGCCTCTGCACAGGGCGTGTCCCCAGGCGAGAGGCCGTGGTGAGACGGGCTGGGCTGAAATGCGGGACCTGGAGCAGGCGGCCAGGCAAGTCCAGGAAGGAGGCACGGAGCGGCCGCTGGAGGGGCATAGCTGCGGCTCTTCCAAACCTGACGCCTGTGACTTTCTTCTAAACCCCAAACAGGTCAAGAAGTGGCACTGAGATGGGAGCATCTATCCGAGGCCAGCCTTACTCAACGGTGAGCCGAGCGTTAGGGCTCGCGGGGACACCTCACAGCTGTCCCACTCTTCCCAGCCCAGCCAGAGCCCACAGGAGGCCTCGCCCTGGGCCCTCGTGCAGGAGACAGGCGCACCCCTGGCCTCGGTGTGGGTGCACGGCCACTCCTGCTGAATGCCCAGAGGACTGTCACAGGACACAGGACAGCACAGGTGACATCTGCACTGCACGCCCTTCCCACCATCCTTTCTCTGGGAAGCACGGGGGAGTTTGTAGTGGGGAGGGATGTGGTCAGAGCTGTGTCCCACGATGCACTTGTGACCTCAGGCTGGACGTGGCCTGACAGAGCCGTGGTCTGCCGCAGGGTGTCTGCATGGAAGAGGAACGCAGGCCCCGCCTCCCTGTGCACCGCGAGGGCCCGTCGCCCCCTTTTCTCCAGCCGTCCGCTGCGATCCTAATACACAGGCCGCTGATGTCGACCTGAGACGCACACAGGTGAGTCTGGCCTGGAACAGAAAGGCTGAATGAGGGGAACCAGTCACATCTGCTTCTCCCAGCTGGGCTGGGGGTCGGGGTGCTTGTGGTGACAGCCAGGGAGGACCGGGTGTGTGTGTGTGTGTGTGTGTGTGTGTCAGTCTCCCCCCTCTCTTTCCCTGCCTCTCCCTACCCCGTGGAGCCCAGCCCGGGGCTGGGCTGGGGCCCTCATGGGGTCAGCACTGCAGGCTCTGGAGCTGAAGCCCCGACCCAGGGGAGGGCAGGCGGGTCTGAGTAGTGGCACACGCGTGGGTTCCAGCCCAGTGTTAACTACGGGCGGCCTGGCAGCCACTCGGACCCCCTGGGAGCAGCTGCTGCAGGGACCCCGCCTCTCAGTGAGGAGGTCCAGGCCCACGAGGGCCGAAGAGGCGTCGGAGAAGCACGGCGGGGAGGCCGGCCCGGCTTCGCAGCCAGCTCCACTTGCTGGGCTATCCTGCCCCGTGCCGCCCTCAGCCTGCTAGGGCCAGTGGTCGGAGCCAGGGGGCCCCTGCAGCCTGAGGCCGTTGGAGGTCTCCGGGGCTAAGTTGGGAGCCAGAGCCCGCGCTCAGGGGCCTCCTCAGGGTCACTCCGAGACATTCGGCAGCACCCTGGCTGGGCGCCGTGTCCTCGGCCTCCCCAGCGATGAGGCTCACGGCAGCCGCTCACCCCACGGGGCGGCTGCACCAGGCTGCCCGTCCACAAACACAGCCAGAAGCTGCCTGCCTGGACCATGCATCGTTGCCAGGATGGGGGTGCGTCGAAGGAAGGCCCTTGGTCACCCTCTCCTTGCCCCCCGTCCTAGAGGCTGGCTGGCTCTGCCTGGAGAGTCCTTAGGGACACCCTGGTCCTGTCCACAAGCCAAGAAGTCCAAGTGGAGGCCAGGAGACGGGACCTCGAGGCCCTCTCGTGAAGATTTCCTTCTGGGGCCTCAAGGAAAGACAGGGTTGCCAGTGAGCACAGGCCAGCCAGGTCTTGGGGGGCAGGCTGCGTTGGGGTGTTGCTGGCCCAACTCCCAGGTGACTGCACCTCAGTGTCCCGCGCTAGGTGTGGGCCCTGGTGTCCTCATCACTAGCGGAGGGTTCTGGGACCATTTCGTGCCTCTCGGGGTTCAGGGAGCAGCAGTGCCCTGTTTATTGGGACTGGGCACGAGGCCCCCTGTGCAGTAGTGGGCGAGGCCACGCCGGGGAGAGCCCGAGGGCAAGCCCTGCCCCCTGCCTGGGACCCATCCGAGCCTCAGCTTCCTCACTACGAAATGGCATCGGTGATCCTAGCTTCACCAGGCCAGTGAAGACCAAATGGCACAGACCAGCCTTTCCTGGGAGCCAGGTTCCCTTTTGGAAAGTAAGAATATTCTATAGCCTCTCCTGAGATGGGAAAAGCCCAGGTCACCCTGGATGGTGGGACCAGACCAAGCAGAGCCCACGGGGAGGGAGTCCACACCTGTCCAGTGGGTGGAGGTGTGTCCTGGGGCAGCAGGGAGCCAGGGGTGGGCGGTGCCGTCAGAGGTGGGGGCCAGGTGGGCATGCGTAGCCCCTTTTGGACATGGGTTGGCCTCTAGCAGATGACAGCCTTCCTCCCAGTGTCACCGGTGCAGAAGTCCCTTGGGGACACCATGGTCACGCATCCACTCCTGTCCAGATGGGACTGATCCCATCACCTGTAGCGCTTTTCTGAAAGCCACATCGCACGTTTCCCTCCCTCCCTCTCTTCCCTCTTTCCTTCTCCCTCCCTGGTTGGTGGTTGTCTCCTGTGGGGCAGCTCCCAGGGTATGCGGGCCCTCTCCTGACCCGCCTGCCAGTCCCCGTGCCCTCAGCGCCCCAGCACAACCCTGACCCCCGTCCACCTGCTGCTCTCCTCCTTCCCCCTCCAGGAGATGCCTCTGGGAGCCATGATGTCCCTCCAGGCGCCGAGACTGACGGCCCTTTGGGGTGAGGTAGTAGGTTGTATAGTTTGGGGCTCTGCCCTGCTATGGGATAACTATACAATCTACTGTCTTTCCTGAAGTGGCTGTAATATCGACAGTGGACAGCATCCAGGACCCTGGCTGCTGGAGGGGGGTGCGGTGGGCAGGGTGGGGGGTGGGGACGCAGCCTCAGCAGGGTGGGCGCAGTGGCTGCCGGGTGGTAAGTCTGACAGGCCTAGGTTCCACTTGTTGTGTGACCTGGGGCCCTTGACCTCTCTGGGCTTCAGTTTCCTTATCTGTGAAAGGGGGCGGATGAGGGCTGAGGGCAGTACCGTGTGAAGTGTCCAAGGAGGGCAGGGCTCAGAGTCGACCTCTCCCTCTCCCCACACTGCGCTGAGAGCCGATGGACCCGACGGGCAGTTTGGGCAGCCCACCCCTCCACCGTCCACATCCCCGTGCCCCACATCAGGCTCTTGGGCGGCCCCCAGCCTGGACTTTGCCCTCAGATGCATCCCTGCGGCCGGCACTGGGCACCGGGAGGAGTAGCCTCGGGCCCGAGGGGGACGGGCCAGCTGAGGCTTGGCTGGCGTCACAGCCCAGCACCCCAGGGCAGCCCACGGGGTCGGCCTCGATCAGCACATCCCCCGAGTCCACAGCCTGCCCAGCTCAGTGTCAGGCCTCTGGTCAGCGGAGGGACGGAGGCCAGGGCTCCCCTCTCCCAGGCAGGGAGTGAGAGGAATGTCCTCGAGCCCACGGCAGCCCTCGTGGGCACGAGCCCGTTCCACCCCCAGCAAGCGCAGGTGGACTGGCCAGCGTGGGGACCAAGGCGCCGTCTACACGTCCCTCCTCCCCTGCGCCTGCCCAGCCCTCCAGCTCGGCTCTGGTGGCTGCAGACCACCATGAGGGGCCGGGGCTGGGCCGGGGGCAGCGGCAGGATGGCGGACCCTCCCAAACCCGGGCACCGGCGGGGTGAGGTAGTAGGTTGTGTGGTTTCAGGGCAGTGATGTTGCCCCCTCGGAAGATAACTATACAACCTACTGCCTTCCCTGAGGGGCCCAGCGTCGTCCCACGGGAGGGCCGCCCCCGTGCTCCGCAGGGGACTCGGCAGATGACTTGGGGGCCTGAGCCCAGGCCAGGAGGGTGGGAGGCCGCCCTGTGCACACTCAGATCTCAATAAAAGCTGCTGTGATGGGAATCTGGAGTCTGCCCCTGTTTGTTCTGGGAGCCCAGGGGCGGGCCGTCTGCCGTGGGCGGTGTGGGCGTGGCCTGACGGGGGAGATGCCTCTGGGCCACCGGGGGTCACCGGACCCTAGTCCGCCGCCCCCACAGCCTTCGGGTCTTCCTGATGGATTCAGTCCTGGACCCCGGACCCCCGCGCAGCCTGCGCCCCACTCACACCCGCTTTGAGCACAGCTGTGGGACCCAGGCCCCAGAGGCGTCACTCGGCCCGCAAGGGCCCCCTTGCAGGTGGTGCGGACCCCAGTCAGCAGCTCAGAGCACAGTCCAGGGCCCGGTCCCCGAGGCCACCCCAGACCCAGTGCTTGACTGGGGCCCGGAAGTTCCCGTCTGCCACGCCCAGCCCCCCTAGGCCAGTGTCCGGGGTAGCCCTTATTTCGGGTGTCCATCCTGGGCTGACTGCCATCCCAAGTGTTCACTCACGTTTCTGTCGGGGGTCTTAGGCTCTCGTGCTGATGGCTGCTGAAGCCCGTCCCCACAGTCACAGCCTGGGTGTCAGAAGAGACCCGTCTGTGTCTGACCCAGCGCCCAGAGCACCCTTGGGGGGAGGTGCTGCCACGGCTGCGTCCGATCCCCGTCCCTGTGCCCACAGAGCGCAATGAGCTGCCATCTGCCCCAGCTGGAGCAGCCCCCCGTCACCCCACAAGCCCCTGCAGAAGAGAACTCCAGGCTGGCTCTTGCCAACGGCCCGGGGTACACAGAACGGGACACCACTGCAGCCTCCAAGTGCCCAGCGCCTGAGGGGACAGACAGGGCTCGGACAGGTCCAGGTCCCAGGCAGTGGTCTGGGACGGGGACCCTGTGACAGAAGCCAGAGGAGGCTCCTGCTCCAGCCAGGGTCCTGGAGGGAGGAGAGGTGGGCTGAGCTGGGCACCTCTCAGCCCTGAGTGCAGCAGCCTGAAGCATTGGAGGGACCGTCCTCCCCTCCCACCATGATGACTGTCCCCAAGCCGCTATCTCTGCCCAAGCCCCCACCCATCCCAAGCCTCCTGTCTGGCCCACCCAGCCCGGCATGGCCACGCCTGTGCAGTCCAGCACCCCCTCTCCAACCCGACACCCCTCCGTGGCCCACCTGGCCTTGAGGAGCTGCTGCTGCACTATGGGTCAGGGGCCACGGGAACCCAGAGCAGGGGTCCCAAGGGGCAGAGAGAGCTTTCTAGAGCAGGGGCCATCTGAGCTGGGTCTTGATGGCTGTGTAGGAGTTTGCAGCTTGCAGTTTGCTGGCTGTGTAAGTCATAAAGAAGAGGCCTTCACAGTGGAGTGCCCCATCTTCTCCTCCCCCATTGTCCTCTGGGACCAAGGCAGGTGACAAACTCGGGCACTGTCCACCTCCTCTTCTTTGCCATGTGGTCAGTCAGTGGCAGAATCTGGCCACTTGTGTCCCCTGGACATCATTTCTGTGCCTCAGGTCTCTCCATCCCCACTCGCACTGCCAAACCTCAGAGCCTCTTGGAGCAGCCCCTCTGCCATTCTTCTGGGCACAGGGGGCACTGGGCCCCCTTGTGAGCGGACCTGCCCTCACACCTGTGTACACCCTCACCTGGACCCCTCCCTGCCCCTCCTGCTGATCATGGCTCTGCACGCACAGCTCCTCTCCTCTGAATGCCCACAGCTCAGCACTGCCTTGGGCCACGGTAGCCCATGTCTATCTGAGCTGACCGTGACCGTTTATACCCCGAGTTCAGCCTTTCCTCTGGCGCTCCAACAGTGCTCGGCCCTGTAATCAGGGCTCGTGTCCTGGTGGGGAGCAGTCCGGACACACAGCAGCCACTGCCATGGTCAGTGCCATGACGGGGGCCACCCAGGGTCTAGAAGAGCCCCGAGGAGTCCTGGACCCAGCTCTGCAGTCAGGGAGTGGCTTCCTGGAGGAGGTGACACCTGGTTCACCCTGTGACCCTCTCCACCTTCCAGCCAACCAACTTCCAGCCTCTCCTCTGCCACCAACTGGCCGACCCTAGAGACCAACAGGACCGCAGATGTGGGCCCGAGGGGCATGGGGGCAGGGTGCTACCCATCATCTGATCACCAGTGACGTGCGGAAGCAGTTTCATCCCAGAACAAACTGGATGAAGTCAGTATGGTCAAAGCAGCTAATTTGTTTGCGGGGCCCTGCGAGGCGGCAGAAAAGGCCCAGCTTTGGGGGCAGAGGCCTGGGGCAGTCGCTCTACTCACCAAGCCTCTATTTCCCCATCCTACATCATAGGGGGCTGTTGGATGTCAGGAGATAGCGGTTGCGAGAACTCAGTTGGGGGGCGGAGGGGTGTGTGGGAGGCACTGAGCGGGAAGGCGAGAATGGCAGGGGAGCCCTGGCCCGAGGCTGGGCGCCTGGTGCCACCTGCTGCCTAGCCAGGGAGTGGCTCCTGGCCCGGCTTGGGCCCTGGGTCTGGTCAGCAGGTGAGCAGGGTGGAGAGCGGGCTGGGGGGCCCTGAGGGCTCGGCACCCCCAGACTGTGTGCTCCCCAGGCAGGCCAGGACCATGGTCAGAGATGTGGATGAGTCAACTTGAGAGCGGCTCAGCTCAAGGCCATGGGGCGAGCGAGGGACCAAGACCCTGGAGGTGGTCCCTGTCCCAAGGCATGCAGAAGCCGGGCCCCCTCGGCCCCCTCCCAGCTGAGACAGGCCACCGAGGTGCCGCGGCTGTTCTGCAGGAGAGAGGTCTGCATGTCCCTGCTCCTCCTGGGAGGTGACTCATCAGAGAGTCTCGAGGGACTTCTGGGGTGTTCAAGGCGGGGCCTTTGATAGGCCGTGGGCCCTTAAGGGGCCTTAAGGGCCACCTCTGATCTTGGACCCCCGGGGAGGGATGGCAGAGCCACTCCAGCATCTAGACCCTACAGACCGGGGCTGAGACAGGGCCCGCCTGGCCTTGTGGGCACGGAGTGACCAGGCCGCCACCCAGGGCCGGGACTAGGGTGAGGTTGCAAAGGCCCAGCATCTCAGGGGCCCTCAGTCTCAGGGTGACACGGCACCCGCAGCCTGCCCATCAGCACGGTGGGCACCGAGCCAAGACCCACATACTATTAGGGGCCCATGAAGCAGTTTCGCTTCAGTTCCTTTCAAAGTTTGAAGGAAAAATGAAAGCAACAATACTGACTGTATATTATATGTAATATACAACATATGTAGCGAATGTATATAATAATTTGTCCTCTATAGCATATAGCATCCATAATAATGAAACTAGCTTGCATTATATTCGTTTTTGCACCACCTGGTCATAAAACGTGTTTTTAATCTCTGTGATGGAAGAAGCACCCGGGAAGGCAGAGTGCCCCCAACTCCCACCCCACGAGTCAGCCTGGGCCCCGCCTACGAACGTGGCCACTGTCCTGCCGCCCTGAGAGGCTGAGCGCCTCCTTCAGTTTCGTGTCCTGGGAGCCTCACTGGCCCTGGGCCCAGCCCTGCTCTCATCCCCCTTAGTCCCCCCTTTCCTGGCCAGCCAGCGGGAGGCCTGGGCCACGGCCAGCTGGGCGGCCCCTGCCATCGGACTCTGCGTTTCCCGACAGCGACACCGTGTGGCGGCAGCGGGAAGAGGCGGCCGTGAGCTCGGAGCCGCCACCCCTGCCGGCAGCCAGGGCGGTGGAAGGGGATGACCCCTCCCGGGCCCGGAAGCCTCGGGTTCAAGGTCAGCCCAGGGGAGAGGGCCCCAGGAGCGCTCCCTGCGCCTCTGGTGTGCGGGGACTGAACTGCAGACTAATAACCGAGCGGCACTTACCCCGCACCCCCTGCCGGCTCCTCCACGCTCCGGCTGTACCCCTGCCATGGCCCCAGGTGGCACAGCGGGCAACCTCCTGCTCACTGTCAGCATCGCTGCCCCCCATCAGCGCCCCCTCCTCGTGGCCACACCCACAGCAAACCTATGAGGACCAGGGCCCCCTGCCAGGGATTCAGACCCACATCTGTCTCCCCAGGCACCGCCTGCTGGCCCGAGGCCAGGCTTTCTGCAGGAAGGGAGATGGTCCCCAAGCTGGGAGGATGGGGCACTGGGTGGTCTGGAAACCCCGAGATGGGGGTGGCCCATGCAGAGGAGCCTGAAGGGGAAGCTGGGGCCGCAGTGAAGGCCTCAGACACCAGGCGAAGAAGGCCAGGTCTTGCTCTTGCTGCGGCCCGTGGCCGCCTGGCAGACTTCACGCCCATCAGTGTCATTTCGCAGAGATGGGTCTCCCTGATGCTGTCCCTCCTGGATCAGGCAGGGCCTGAGGGGCCAGGGTGGGCTGGGGGGCCTGGGGACCTGGGGGAGTCCCCGTGTCAGCAGGGTAGAGGTGCTGAGCTCAGCCTATTTCTCTCTAGAAGGGGAGGGGGCGGCACCAGGTTACACGTGTCAGACCTGGACAGCTGGAGGACTGAGATGGGCCAGGAGGGGAGGGCCTTCAGGCCTGGCCTGCTCAAGGGGCTCCAATCCCACCATAGCGCCAGCTGTTCCAGAGCCTGAGGCTGTCTCCTTCCCTCAGGCTTCCTGCTTGGGGGCCCAACTTCACCATCCACACTGACAGCAAGTGCGCCTGACCCCAAGGCTCCCGTAGCCTCCTGGGCTGCCTGTTGCAGAGGTGGCCCCAGCTGCGGTGTCTACATGGCCACCAGGACTCTGTGGAAGGGGTGACTTGTGCAAGGAGGGGAGCAGAGGGCTCTAGCCATTGGTGTAAATAGTCTTGAGTCAGCCCCCGCTGGGGCTCCACGTGCCAGGGCGACGTCTCTGGTCCTCAAGGAGGGGCTGCTGTCCTGAGCCCATTCCATAAAGGTGGACATTGAGGCTTGGAGAGACACAGTGACTCTCCCAAGGCGACACAGCAGGCCAGAGCAGAGCTGGGATGGCGACCAGTTTGTCTACTCCGGGGCCTATAGCTGTCCTGCCCCCCCCATGGTGTCTTCCTGCCTGTGGTGGCGGAGGGGAAATGGAGGTGCAGAGAAGAGACGAGTTCTGGAATCCCTTCCCTGTAGCCAAGGAAGCAGGCCAGGCCCAGGT